GAAACAGACATCTACGAGTAACCTACTTGGTATTCAAGCTAGATTGTCGCCAGGCCCGTGGCCAGATTTGATTGTATGGAGGGACAAGTAATATATCCGGATGGGCAACGACAATCAAACCCGTAGCTACACATGGGCAAGAACAATTCTGACAAACAACAAATTCCATTACTACAACTAAACAGCATACGCCATGAATGTAGGTAATTAGGTCACAGGTAAATCGGTCACCGGAAATTTGGTCACAGTAAAAAAGTCACACGGTAATTTGGTTACAGTAAAAAGGTCACACGGCAATTTGGTCACAGTAAAAAAGTCACACGATAATTTGGTCACAGTAATACGGTCACATGGTAATTTGGTCACAGTAATAAGGTCACACGGTAATTCGGTCACAGTAAAAGGGTCACACGGTAATTTGGTCACAGTAAAAAGGTCACATGGTATTTTGGTCACAGTAAAAAGGTCACATGGTAATTTGGTCACAGTAATAAGGTCACACGGTAATTTGGTCACAGTAAAAAAGTCACACGGTAATTTGGTCACAGTAATACTGTCACATAGTAATTTGGTCACAGTAAAATTAACCATTTTCAGTGGTGTTGGTCATCTTATTCATATCAACCGCTTGTAGTTGATAACACGATTCAATAAATGGTGGAGGACGTGCAATGTCACAACTTAAGTAGGTTCGTGACTTTGCCCCCGACTTAGCACAAAATTTATTGAAATTGACTTTTAATTCAAATTTAGTTTACCTGTGTATATTGGCCACATGGAAGTAGTGATGCTATTTAAAAGGCGAAAGCCGCGATGAGATTTGCTGCTGGTGGGCGTATAGGCATGTGGGCGTCCGCTCGTATATATTAGCACCGTTGCTCGTAAATTTCCACGCCTGTCCCAATGACCTGAGCGTTTTTCATTTTTCGGGTAGGATGAGATGGGCGGCCTTCAGATACGTGAGATACGTGCGAAGCATCTCACCCTACCCCCACCCGAAAATCGAAAAGAATCTGCTTTGAAACGCTCACGTTATTGGTACAGACACGGAAGTAGTTGGAGTAGTGGAGATTATATATAAAATACATATTAAATCAACTTCATTGCTGAAGTCAATACTGGATGATTTCACAGGCTGCATTCAGTGAGTGAGAATTCTGTAATTTGGAATGGCGAGAGTCGGCAAAAGTTAAACGGTGGTATGGCTTGCAAGCTTAAAAGGCAGACCTGTGGCGGGTTGTATCAGCAATAACTATATAGCTGCAGATTGACAGGTATAGCAAATACTGTTCGACCGTTTAGGGCCCCACAAGGTCCACCCACCCAGGGCAAGCAGAACACTATATTATGTATTATGAAATAAATATCACTACACCAGTTACCAGTAATTTCATTTTACTAGTTTTGCCTTGACCAGATCACTGTGTGACCATATTACTGTGACCAAATTACCGTGTGACCAAATTACCGTGTGACCGTATTACTGTGACCAAATTACCACGTGACCCTTTTACTGTGACCAAATTACCATGTGACCCTTTTACTGTGACCAAATTACCGTGTGACTTTTTTTATTGTGACCAAATTACCGTGTGGCCGTATTACTGTGACCAAATTACCATGTGACCCTTTTACTGTGACCAAATTACCGTGTGACCTTTTTACTGTGACCAAATTACCGTGTGACCTTATTACTGTGACCAAATACCATGTGACCTTATTACTGTGACCAAATTACCGTGTGACCTTTTTACTGTGACCAAAGTTCCGGTGACCGAATTTCCTGTGACCTAATTACCGCGCCCCGTCTATTTATAAGATTAACACATCGTGTCCACCTTTCAACTAGTAGGTTCTGATAGCAGTAGAGTGGCACAGTAAAATGATAACACTTTTTTAGATGTTAGACATATTAACAGCTAAACAGGATGAAACACTTAGAAAAAGGAGCAAGTTTAAAATTCCCTGTCACCTCAGCATTGTTTTTACGATAAGGAAAATAGAAGGTAAACGGTTTCAAAAAATGTTATATAGAGACCCACATTCATGCTTTTTTTTATATCTTTATCGCATCGCATTTGGATAATTTGTTACAGCAAATGTGTGATTATCTATATTATCAAGGAAATGAATTCCTCTAATTTTACAATGTAGCTTAATTTAAGATCTTAAAACCCTCCCGGCGTCTCGACACAATAGGCCTAAAGTTATACCGAATACTGTCTTTAGACAAGGAGTACAATTACACCCCGTATTATTGTATCCATCCACCTGATTAGACGCTATTCATAAGAAACAAAACTTAAAAACATTCGAGACGAAAAGAACTGAATTTAAGTTTAGAAAAATAACAATTTGAGAAGAAATGGTAAAACTGTCTTCTATTCTACAGTCAACTGTATGGAACTATTACACGTGCCAGGTCACGTGTCACGTGGCCGTCATCCCTTCACGTGCTTCAAGCAGACGGATATTCGTGTTTGAAGGAGTTGTATGAAAGATTTGAAAATTGGATGAAGTTTTATTATCGACATCTTAGATTGACTTAGAAATCATTTTAATATCCGGTGGCGGTCGTCCGTTTATTTTCAATTCGGAATAGTCAACAATGAGTCAAGAACATGACCACAGCCACGGATGTCAGTGAAAATAAAGCGGCCATGTTTCTATTATTATTCTAATCCATGTCAGTGGCGTATAGCCTTCATGGGTCTTGTCTGATTTGCATTTAGATTATTTGATAAACATTGATATAAACAGAGAATAAATTACTTCCAAGTGTCCCTAAACCCATATAGGCCTAACCTACAGGGTGCCAATGTCATCTATCCTTGCCCACATGACAAATTTGGGCTACATCCACCTTCAGGGGTTTAAATTTCTGCTCAGGCCTATCAATCGGTAGGCGCCTAGATCTCAAAATCAACTATCTATGTCAATTTGTTAACATGCAAAACCAAACGATCGGTTCATTTGAAATACAATTGAAGCATGTGAACGGAGGTCACAAAATGTTAGTCAACTCATGTAGGCACCATGGGGACAATTTGCACAATTCCAATTGTCATTCATAAGCCTGTGGTTTCTGCAATTGCACTAGTGCCTTCTGTAGAATAGTGTCAAGTTGCTTGTCAATAGTAACTGGTTTCTTTTCAACCACCTTAATTACTAAAACAAAGTGTTTGATGACACGATGTCGCGAAACCTGTTTTTATCGCATATGACCCTTTGCGACAGTGACGTCATAACACGCATAGTTTTGGTGGATTTGTAGGAACCATAGATGTCTAACTAAAAATTGGATGGTGCGAATTGATGCTTTCAGTTTCCCCGATGTACATAATTTATTTTAAGAAAACCTCTTTACCATCCCTTTAACCATACTCTCAATTTTTTTTTATATGAAATCGAAACTATTTTACGAAACAAACGACCAGGATAAGCTTTTGTCATGGAACGCTATCCTATGATGTTACTTTGCCATGGGCCTGTCTGGCTCGGAAGTTGATGACAGTCACTTGAATGTTAACAACAATAATGTCATATTCTCAAGTAGATACTTGGCGGTTAATTTGATATTTTCATATACAGGTAGACTGTCAAATCTTATTAAATATAGTTAAGTTATTACTTCAATAGATTCGTTGATTGGCTTCTCTAATTGTGACATCTCAACAACAATAGATCTCTGACCAATTTTACTTTCTTCCACCACTTGAAGAAACCTGCCGGATTCTAGTGATGTCATAGATTCTATCTTCATCACGCGACATTAATCACGAATAATATAGAACCTAATCACATGAAATTTATTTACCATGACAACAAACGGATATTACCTGTTGATTAAACTTCTTATTTAATTATTGTCAGGTAATTCAAATCGGAAAAGACGCCATTTTGAAATATTGTATGAAGATGGATTATGACTCTCAAATTACCGCTGACTCGGACCTTATTTCCGGAACGCAGCATATGCGTTGTTGGCATTTTTAAGGATTTACATTTTCTTGAGATGAATTATTACTTGATTGTTTCAACATTCACGGCATTTCTAGACTTATACCATGGTTAACGATTTACTATTTTCGGGGATTGATTTGGGTCTTTGGTATATGTAAAGTCTAGCCTAATAATAAAGAAGGAATAAAACTGAAAGAAAATCGCTCAAATATGCATCAAATTTGAAATTTAACTTTCTATTTCTATACTATATTATATCTTTTCAATGTTATAAAGAGGAGTCTCAAGTAAAGACGAGTTGTCATTCCAAACGTATATAATTCTAAACAGAAGGCAAATTTCCACTGTCAACTGTGAACACCTTTACTGATCAGCTTTAAAAAATCCCGTTTTTGAGACTAAGGCACCATTGGCCAAACGGATGGCGAATACGTCCCTTTAAAGCCCATCGGCAACACATTTTGGTCTATCTGAATACATCTTTGATTAATTTCAAATCAGTAACACTGTACATGTTTTCATTTGAGTCACTGGATATTTCAGAATCATTTTATTTATTATTTACTTAATTAAATGGATAATTATTTCGATCTTTACCAACAATTAGAAAATTTGATACATGTCAAAGATAGAGTCTACAAAATCAAGGCAGGCATTTCATACTATATTCATATAATAGACATGTTTTCGTTTGTTTCAGTGACCAACACTTTCTTTGATATGCTATCATCAAATAAAAGATAATAGGCCAATACGCTCGAAGGGTGGGTCCACGGCAAGAATGACTTATACAAAATTAGCGTAAGAAGGGAGATAAATCTTGATTTAGTAAACATTCATCAGACTACAAATAATCATAGTTGTTTGTATGAAGCCTTTAACAGTCGAATTATTCAACAAAAGTTGTAGCCATTTGATAATGATCAGAACCCAAATAAAGAGTCAACTTTGAAGGGCAACTTGAATTATATCACATATCTTAAGGGCAATTAGATCTTGCAGCACCAAATCCCAGACTATATAAAACATCACAGATTCACATTTTGAAAGATTATTTTATTTTTATCACAGATTGTAACATCTAAAAATAAATACAGAAAAAGTACCGGTATATATCAAATAAAAATATGGTGTTTATGTACATTTAGTGACTAAAAAATATACACAAAGTTAAAGTTAATGAATTAGTGATGAAGGGATATAGCTCTCTAAATTACTATGATAGTTGATGACATTGCATTAAGAATAGTGGTAACTTGGTTTATCTTTAAAATGGGAGTATGTGCCAGTTTACTTGGTATATTTTGAAATATCATTAATATATACTGTTATTTTTTTTTGTTATTTTGAAGATGAAACCAACTCTTTCCATAAGTTCTCTGGTCAGAGTGCAGGTTTGTCCTGTTAGAAGTGAACACTGGTAGATAAAAGAATTTTCTTTCTGTGATAACTTAATGAATTAGATGACTTTATCCCTTCAACTTTACAACCTGATTAGATAATAGTAAATATACATAAAGAATATCTTCTTTCATAATAAACCTGAATTACAAATTAAGAACATGAAATAACACTTCTATGACATAAAGATTTTAAATGAATTTCAAGCGGAACAAAATGTGACTAATATGAGTCAACCTGATTAAAATAAAGCTCTAGAAATATTAAATTTTAATATTTTTATTTCTACATTTGCTCTACAATTGATATATTAAGCACTATATTAACAATGAAAATAATATGTTCATATTTTCTGTCTTCAAAAACTCAAAATTTAATAATTAAAAAAGACAAAAATTGTAATTTTCAGATTGCAACTACAAATTCAAATCTTATAAATGCATCTAACTAAGAGTACAAATGCAATATTTACAAATTTGCACTATTTTATTCAATACAAATTACATTATATAATGCTGAATTCAACAAGCAAGCTTACCTTTATAACCTATGTTAACTTCATTAACATTTACAATGTGTCAAAATCTTTGTAATAAGTAGTAAAATTATCTGCTGCCAATGTAAGTAAGAGCCATTATAAATAATTTCTTGATACACGATTTGATTATGAAAATAATAAATTGCCAAATTTGTTTTCAAATTTTAATATACAGATAATTCCAAAATAGTTTATATAAAAATAATATAAATTGACATAAGAAACTTTAAAATTAAAAAAAATCACCTTCGTTCAAAAGTATTTCTTGCTGCCTGCCAGAATGAGGCTATAGAAGTGGTAGCAGATGCAAGAAGTCCACCGCCTTCATTAATACTAGATTGGGTACTATAATGTGTAGGATAGTTCAGACAGAGATCTCTGGAAGTGAGATCATATACCAAGTCATTATCAGGAACTTCCCAATCTTGTCCTAAACCAACCTCATCGATATAGGTATCTGGTTCTGTATCACTATCATCTGACACACTGCTACTTCCCTCCATTACAGAATTTATCATCTCTTCTGATACTTCAAATGGTATACATCTACACAATTAATATTAAACATTAGAACATATATAAAAAGGAATGTAGCCTTGTTTGATTTACCTGAATTCTAGTAATATGACTAGTGATATGATTAGTGTTAAGCAAACAAAGACAAGCAAATAATCACAAGTGTCTAAACAAAATCTCCCTTATTGTACACTGCATACCCATCTTCATTAGCTGAACATGATGCATACAACTAGGACATCATTTTCACTTCTATTTGAATTGAGTTAATTAGTAGTTATCCCCCTTTTCCAGTACACTAACCCTCTATAACTTAATTACCTTCCAATGTTGTGATTTTGTAAGAGAACATAAAGATTATGTAGTGTGTCTTTAGGTGAGAGATGAACTTCTTTTATGCCTTGTGAGAAACATAGATATAGAACATTATGATTTAATTTGTTCACTGAGTTGGCTAGCTGTTTCTCTGTAATATCATCATTGCAAAACTCACTGAAAAACAATAACATTATAATGAAAAACCTTTCTTTGAAAAAAATTAAATACAACTCAGTCAAACTTATACACTAGCAAACATATCAAAATAAGCCATAATGTTTAGCCTTCCGGTCGAAAATGAAATGAAATGAATGGAGTTTTACGTCCTACATTTCTGCACCATGTGGGCTAATGAAAACAATAGTCTTTCTGTCGAGGGCTCTGATTGGCAGTAGTGGCTGGCATATAATCCAATCAAATCGCTACATTTTGTGAAAAAAAGGTGGCTTGTCAAGATATACCAAAGACAAATTTGTTATAGTTTGACATTATGAAGGTTGGTTATTGCCTGCCACTTCACTTCATTCTTGAGTCATTAATCCTAAATGCAAGAATCTTACCTATAACACTGTTTTTTCGGATGGTTGATATCTAATATATATAACAATATAGACAGTAATTGGCTACAGTAACATAAAGCTGCTCTAAATGTATGGCCTAAATTACTACCACCACATTCTTGTTCAGGTGTTGTACCATTATTCTCCTTACTTAAAGATACTGAAAATATAACATTCAATATATCTCACAACTTGTATGAATTAAGTTTAGCATATCATATGAGTTGTTCTATGGAAGTTCATTTCTATATTTCAAGGATGTTTAAGTCAGTTACAAGCCAAGCTAATATTCCTGTGACTTGAGTGTAATAATGTAAAGCACCTTAGTACTATTTATGTCATTGTACAGTTTGACCAACAGAATCTTCTTTGGCATTTTTTTTCCACAAATCTATTCATGGAGCGTAATACGTGAAACCCCTGCTCATTAATCAGCATATTGTGGACGAAGCAATATGTTAATTCATCATTACTTACAATCCAGTACTGATGGAGAAATACTAACATTTTAAAGTGTACATACCCCACATATAATAAGCTGAGTAGTTCCCATTACTGGGTAGAGTTGGTTCTAAAATTCTATAAATAGTATCACTTCTGACATCAGAGTACTGCCACTGTCCCCGTACATATGCTGTTTGACAGGCATCTTTTATAGCGCTAGCTGTACTGATTAATAGGCTGTCTGCACTACTGTAACGTAAAGAAAAAAACATATATTCTGAATAAAAATTCATTTTTAAGAAGAAATCTTTTATGCAAGGAAGGAAAAGCAGAATGTTCATGAGTTCAGCATTAAAAATATTCGAACAACATCAAGAACAGTAGCAAAAAACACTGCAAAGTTGAAAAGGCATACAACTCATTTTCAAAAGATTTGCCATATACAATCCCTTATTAAACTTATTGAAAATGTTTCCTTTGTGGCCTTGGCCAGTGTTTCAATGAGGTCTTTGTTCTTATCACAGAATGTGGTAAAAAAAAGAATTCTATAAAGTTCTACCTTGGATGTGTTTCACTAATAGGAAAAATATAGTTAGTTAAAACATCAAGATGAATTCTTCGCTCTCTCTGTAGCCTGACTAATACAGCCTCGGTTTCCTGATTTCTAGTAAGAGTTATCTTCCCTCTACTATCAATATATTCCTTAATCTTCGTCACTTTCAAACTATGCCGACTGGCCTTTGATTTTCTTTGATAATTCTTTTCTTTGGTTTTTTGTAACACAAACTGAGCTTAAATGAAAAATATAATGAATTATTGTGGTGTACTTTTTAATCAAATCAAATATTATACATGATAATGTGTAACAGTAGGCAGTAAGATGCTGACAGAGCCTGATCTTTTCAACAAGAAAACTGTAATCTGTTGCTGTATCAAGCACGCAACTGTAGAATATAATGAATGCCCAGATCTTTCATTTGATAGATAATGAAGAAGAGGGGAGAAGGAGAAGAGGGGAGAAGAAGAAGAGGAGAGAAGGAGAAGAGGGGAGGAGAAGAGGGGAGAAGAAGAAGAGGGGAGAAGAAGAAGAGGGGAGAAGAAGAAGAGGGGAGAAGAAGAAGAGGAGAGAAGGAGAAGAGGGGAGGAGAAGAGGGGAGAAGAAGAAGAGGGGAGAAGAAGAAGAGGGGAGAAGGTGGAAGGAGAAAATTGTAGCAGTTGCAGTTAGTAAAGATATTTTAGGCATAGCTATTCTTTCTAGTACATTTCTGGCTTCTATGATAAAATATGGATGTTTTTAAGAGCAGATATTCTCATCTTGGTCACTTTCCTCCCAAACCTCTTAAAATTGTATACTCTTATTCTTAGAAATATTAAAACATAGGTTCTGTTAATATATCACTCTACAATTGATGTATTGAGCACTATTTTAATAGTAGTATTTCTCTATGGCCCTACAATTGATGTATTGAGCACTATTTTAACAGTAGTATTTCTCTATGGCCCTACAATTGATGTATTGAGCACTATTTTAACAGTAGTATTTCTCTATGGCCCTACAATTGATGTATTGAGCACTATTTTAACAGTAGTATTTCTCTATGGCCCTACAATTGATGTATTGAGCACTATTTTAACAGTAGTATTTCTCTATGGCCCTACAATTGATGTATTGAGCACTATTTTAACAGCGAACATATTTTATTGTGCTCTTATTCTTATATAACTGGACTTACCTTTTTCTGTTTCCTTTTTTACTGTTTTAATGGCCTGTTTTAATAATTCTATATTCTGTTTACAAACTTCGATTTCATTTAACTTTTCGTATTTGGCCTCTTTTTTAACAACAGATTTTTCTACCCTAAATAATACACAATACAAGTCTGATAAGGTAAAAATTCAAATATATAATTGACATTTAAAATGGCTCACCTATGATTGAAAAATTTTCTATGTTCCTTATTTCTTAGTTGACAACTACCTGCCTACAGTACACTACACCTCAACTACTCTCTGACCACATCAAGTTCTACATCACATTTTGGCCATCATTTTTGTATGAATTGAAATATCAATCTCCAAATATTGCTGAGAGTCTTAGATTGTCTTTGGGTTGATGAAAATGCCAAACATTGAAAACAAAATTATTTGAAACTCTGATTTTATAGAGGGAGATTATCAGTTCAAAATGTGTCATTTTCATATGAAATTTCTTGGAGAGAAGTGTGTTCATTTCAAGTGCAAAATTTTCAAAACTTACATATGCATGGACCCAAAGGCATTCTAAGACATTTTATATGAACCTGAAAATCATATTTTGAATATTTGTGACTTAAGAGAAAAAATTAAATTTAGCACCCAATGTGGCCAGAGAGTAATAGATAATTAAAGTTCAATAGCTTTTATATTTGCATGTTATTGCATTTGCAAAATCATTTGTATGGAAATATCAATTGAAGGCCTTGCGCAATTGCATAAAGTAATTTCATTTAAGTTGTCAACGGAACACTTTTAAATATCAAAATATATTGAAAAAAAAAACAGCCACCAGTAGGCTACCATACCTTTTGACTGATTTTTCTACACTTTTCTTAAATTCTTCCCATTTCTTCTTTTGTCTTCTAAAATTTAGATGAGATCTACAAGAAAACAAGTCCTCTAAAACATATTGTTATCATTATGACCTAATTCAAATGATATCAATGTCCTATTCAGGCCTCCATACATAAACAAACCCATGTCTAAAAATAGTAACATAATAATGAAATACGAAATACCTCTTATTTGAATGCTCAAAACAGCCATCACTAACACACTGCTGACAATAAAATCGACGGTCAGATCCCCTACACAATGGACATCTTTCTACAGCCACAGTAATCGCAGCAGTTTCGTCAATAGAGCGGGAATTATGGAAATAAATTGGAGCTTCAGTTGTTTCATACGAAGTCGCCATTGACGGTGTCGCCCTACATTGGTTTCTCCATAAAATTTAGCTTCCATTCTGTTCTAAAAATAGAACAACGTCATACTCGTTGTAAAGGTATCCATTAGTGCAATTTAATAAATTTTGCTGTGAAAATGAAATGAAATGAATGGAGTTTTACGTCTTACTTTTCTGTACCATGTAGGCTAATGAAGATGGGCAACGCCATGCAGGGTGCAATGAGGGAAGTTTTGCCAGGACACCGGATTAGTCTGCTCTTTTTCCACTTCCAACTTCTTTAACGTGCACAGCCTTTAGCACACGGGGCCTTCGTTTATTGTCCAATCTGAACGACTTGACGCTATTTTCATGTCAGCCCCTCTTACCTGCATCACTGATAAAGGGAAAACAAGTTATCGAGCAAGCGTCTAACTCACTATAAGCCAAATTTTGCTGTGGAATGTACAAAAGAAGGCCACTGCTATATATATACACAGGACCTTTGTAACATCATATTACATAAATCCTCCAACTAGGACAAATGAAGTTGCCTTGAGCCCCCCTAGAGAAGAATCCACGACCTCGTCTAGAAAACGCCTGAGAAGAGGGGCAAAATTTGTCAATTTTGGCCACTCTCAATACATCACAATGCTCTAAGACTCAGAAAGATCTGATAGACATTGACAGTTTAACTTAACTTGATGTCTGTTGGTGCTCCATCAAGTTGGTTATTTATATGAAGGCTACTACAGACTCAAAAAGAAAACTCGCAGCCGTCTGAATTTGTTCATTTGCCCACCCGAGATATTTAACGGGTGTTATTTATTTATACGATCTATCCATTGACAATGTTGAGTTTAAGATATTATGGGTTGTACCCACAATAGCTCCGCCACTGATTGACCCGATCTTTAAAATGATGCCCCTATACCTCACTATTCCTCTCTAGATGCTCCCAACCCACTTGTATCCTTTTTAAGATGCCCCCTTCCCCTTTAGCCGACTTATATTTCTCCTAATCCATCATTTAAAGATGACACCCCCCCCCCCGCCCCGCCCCCACTCTCCTTCATTCTTTTAATAGATGTCCCCACCTCTATCGAGTTACAAAATTTCGTTAAGGGCGAAAATCTTTTGTTTAATCCTACAAGCTAGGAATGAATTGTGCTCAGTGTCAGTGCAGTACAATCAAAGTTAAACCATTGTTTAAAAATTGTTTAAAATTCTTTCTAGTCAGTTCGAAAATTTTACAGGGTTCTATGCGGATAGAAAGTACGACAAATCGAACAAATCCTCAACATATCTCTACACTCTATTGTTTTAAATCCCAACATGATGTGAGCTGAAATCAGGGGTTAAGAAATAAAAGCTCCATTGCTCCTGACAGAGATTTCGACCAGTGATGTGGATTAGCTGGTTCCCTTGCTTAGTCGAGACGGTTTGTGAGCGAATGATAACGAAAGCCAAACTGGACTCGCGCATACTTGATATATGGGTTTCCTTTGGTGTTAGGTGTGCTGTTAGACTTGAGTAGGTGTTAGGGTCGGGTTATTAGACAAGTTTAGCTAATAATCAATTTTAGGTAGGGCATCATCTCATTCTGATATTAGCTCGAATCAATTGCACCCTTGCCCCCACATTCGTTTCTCTCTCGTCCAAGTTAGGCATGTCATAGTTTCGGTTAGGTTGCTCCAGATTTCGTGCTAGGTTTAACATAATTCTTTAGGGTTGCTGGCCCGCAAATTATTTCCATCGCATTCCCTGTAGGACTTGGCTCGGTCATTATTTCTAAGTTACGGGCGTTAGAGATAAGAGTGTGGGACCATGTGAGTTTACATAGTTTATGATATTGACGGACTTGCTTAGAGACTTAGACTTGGAATTTGTGTTACGATATGGCTGATAGGAAGGGGTTAGGGAATTGTTTGTATGTGTTTATATTTATGTTTGAAAGTCAAAGAAAGTGGTATGGAGCTATCGTGGCTTGATGTGTTTTTGCTAATGCTTCACAACAATGATATCTCTATTTTTTGTATATGGTTGTATGGCAATGGCTTTTTTATGCCTATAGAACGCCATTCATACTGTGGATCATTAACTCACTGACACGGCGGTACGAATAAAAAGTAAGGTGTAGGGTTCGATTTAATCTGTTTTTCAAAGTAATTGTCATTAACTTATAATAAATTTCGTATTGAATTCACATTTTTACATTACATTCATATTTGGTATTTGAGCTTCATTGGTTGTAACGTTGCACAAAAGAGTCTGTTAGATGAGGGAATTTTACTCTTTTTCATTTTTCCTTTTTCTTTGAACTGTTGCGGTGGTGGCCAAGTACTAATAATATCCCAAACCCTCTAACGTTAACGACAAAATTCCCGAAACTAACAGAATCTTTTATTCTAAAATTCAATTTCTTTCCCTTGGACGTTCATCTGCTTTCCTTGGTCGTTTATTTGGTTCTCCTTGGCAAAAAATGTAACTACAAAGATAGACTTTTTGCCAAGTGTTAAGGTATAGGGGTAACATTTTCTATTTATTTTAAATATTAAGGTTTTTCATGATCACGACTGTAATTTTGATTTTGACTGAGCAATATGATTTTTCCCCCACCCCTCCCTTACTTACATAATAATATATATTGTTTTCCACAAAAATACTAATTAAAATTTTGGTTAAATTTGCTAAGGTTAGGATTTGTGTAGGGTTTACGTGGGTTTTGATTTTGATTAGGGTTTTGTTAGGGGTTGAAGGGACTGACCATGCTTGTGTTATGCTCATTTTGCTGGTTAAGTTCGTTTCTTTGATATCGAAACAAGATAACCCTTATTTGCAAGATAAAATATACTTGATACAGTTAACAATACACGATATAGTATTAAAATATCAACTTTTACATTGGATGGTTTGGTTTAGTCTGAAACTATGTTAAAAATCTTTGAATAAGTCCTCCTTTTGATGTTTTTGCAATACTTCTGGTATAAAAACTAGGATGATTCTTTTCAAAAATAAAAATTCTTATTTAAAATCAGCGTCTAGATGGGGTAATTAGTGATTGGTTAGAGAAAGATTTAGCGTTAATAAGCCACCAATATAACCTTGGTTTTTATGAAGGTATTCTAAACGACAGTCGCAGTTCATTGTTTACTTGAAAGATTTTCACCAACTTTTTCAAGGTGCGGTGTCAGTTTTCTTAAAGCTTAAATTAGTCACGAACCACGACTACTCATTAACGGTTCAGTATCGAAGATATCGAGAGGTTTCTACCAATGAAATTTACTTTCACAGTTTCTGTCTCTTTGTTGGAGTTGGTCCATGTTTTACTCTCTCTTCTATTGACATTTAGGGTGGCTAGAGACACATCGAATCCTTAAACAAGCAAATGTTAAATACCTACTGAAATTAAAACAAAACTTGAGCTACTATCGGACTGTTGAATGAATACAGAAGGAAATAACCAAAATGGTGCTGTATACATGATTTCGTAATTTTTCGGATATTTTGGAACTTTCAAAGTGATCTGTGATAAACTTTAAAGATGTCGCGTATCACAAATGTGATTCCATACTTTATTATTCTAATTTTATATCAGGTAAGGCCAGATCGTTAAAGAAAAATATATTCATTTTCAAAAGATAAAATATTCCTCACTTTCTTGTTTGGGTGAACACAATCAGTGCATCACTTTTTTATGAAAAAATATACATAATGTAAGTCAACCTGTGTCAATATACAAGCGCATTACAATTTTCACATGAATCTTAATTTTAAAAGTTACTTGTGTTACTATTGCTATGACCAATGTGACTTAATTTCAATGACAAAAATACTTGTGACCAATTTACCTTGTCACCAATTAACTGTGACCAATTTACATTGTGATCAAATTACTTTGACCAAGTTTTTGTACGACCATTTTGAACAATGATATTATTGTTAATGTATATTTCAGCTCATCTTAATAACTTCTGCTGATTTTATTGTCTCATTAGACACGAGTAATTTTAGAAGATCTAATTTAAATTTAGACCAGACTGTCACATGTGAATCAGGAAGATGTGCTGGATTATTATATTACTGTATTCAGACAGCAGGTGCCCTCTCTACATCAAAAGAAGTGTGTTCTTATGGATATAAGCATGTTGCCACAGGAGGTATATTTTTTTTTTCAATACTACATATTTTCGAAGTAAAAATGAAAAATATCTAGAAATTTTAATATCTTTTCTGTATCCTAATTTATGGAAACATAATAATTAAATAAGTTATGTAAGAAAAATATGAGATAAGAATTCGCCTATATAGCAAGACAATTCCGTTAATCAAAATCTCGTCCAAATCATGTAATGGTAAAAGTTGTATAATAATGGACTCCAAAGAGAAGTAACATCAGGTGTTTCGAGTAAGTATTGAGCAGAGCCATACGGCTCTGGCATGGAGAAACAAATGCTGCCAGAAAGTCCATATCCATAATCCATGTCTGGGAGAAACATCTCCATAGGATATTATCTCTTTCCATTTACATGTATACTCTTAAAAAAATTGAAATTTCTGAATGTATAAGTTCCTTTTTTTATCAAGGTATTGTAGAAGTAAGGTGTTGTTCATCTAAAACCAATGACGCCCTGTCACTGATTAGAATTTGTAATGAACCTCTCCTATTTAAAGGTTAAGTCTTGGCTATATATGTAACAATTACTAAACAAATACAACTTACAAAATAGAAAAACGTTCATACTGAAACGCGGTTTAGTGTCACATAAGAATTTCCGGTGAACCATTCAAGAGAAATGCTCATGCTGAATCGGTTTCAATGTCATATAAGAATTTCAAGTGAACAATTTGAGACAAATGCTCATACTGAAACGAGAGCTTCTGATGAACTATTCAAAACGAATATTTCGATTGAAACGGTTTCAGTGTGAATTTCCGATGAACCATTCAACACAAATGCTCATACTGAAATGGTTTCAGTGACATACAAGAATTTCCGATGAGCCATCAATGCCAATAAAGTGTTCCATGTCCCAGTAACAGAAAATTATTAGTACATTTAGGTTCGAGATGACGTTTGCCATCCCTATAACATGCAACGCCATACAAACCCATCTCTAACCACCGAAATAGCAACAAAAATGCAATCACTTTAAGAAATTTCATTAGGACCTTGCTGTTACTCTTAACTGAGAGGATGCCTTCGCCGAGGCTGAAAAAGAACAAACTATTTGTACAGTTGTATACCACGTGTGTTTAAATATTGTTTATTTGATATCTATTGTATGTCGATTCAATGAAAACCATCAGTAAAATCTATGTTATCTGTTCATGGTTATTGAATAAAGAATGACTCGTGAAGAATTCAAGTTTTAATGACATAACAACCTTTTGTTTAAATAGGGATTTCTTAACACTTTGAAGATCACATCGAATATATTTTAGTGAACTGATAGATAATTTTCTTTATGAAATGATTACATTGACAGTTTAAAGGTATTAGTGGGCACACGAAGTAGGTCCTTAAAAACCATCATTAAAGTGGACAATCATTTAGACAAATACTATACAAGACTACAATGGCAAAACTCTTATTAAAAATCTTCTAATATAAAAACCTCCTAATGTTGATTAATGGCAGGTTTGAAGAATTGGTCACAAACGAAATTATTTTTTTAAAAGTTTTTCGTAACAAAAGAACATTTTAACCCAGTATTTTTGAACAGCAAAAAATGTTTCTCTTCTTGAATTGTGTAGGGTACAACATATCGAGTTCTCCATATATTATCTTAAACTGTGTTAAGTTTGGCTAAGTTCAAATTTTGTGCTAATTTGATTTGTTTATTTAACCCTGAGCGACATTTCACAACTACTTTACCACTCTCATGTCATACATCGTGTGTCTAAACAGAAGATTAGAAATTAATTCTCGTTAGAACATCTTCTATCTCACTGTTCCTATAGACTTACCTACCGTCTCAGACGTGAGATTTTTAACTTGTCAAATCTAGCTTCTAAATCAACAAATTTTGTAAAAACACTCTTGACCACTCAGTGAATATTTCAATATTTTACTTGTACTCCGTTGACCTTATCACGATTGTAAAAGTCAAATCGTAATGCATAAGCATTCCTCTTACCATCATCATATACCGTGTTACTGTTTTGAGGGAATTTTTGGTTATTAGGAAGACTAATAGATACATAAAAGCAAATCTTTACATTGGAAATAATACATCTAACGCCAAAATGGTGTAACACAAGGATATATATTGTAACCATTTCTGTTTATGATTTTCATAAATAACATTGCCGACTTTATAATTTCAGATGCAGTATTAAATGCACCCAGTTCCGGAGACTCAATACCAATTAGGGGAAGTTTTCGAGTAAGTATTTAGTTTTCAAGATAGCAATCTGGGGATTCTTAAAAAAACCTTGCAGCCGAGAATACAACATGGGAAACGATATCTTAAATCTCTAGTTCTGAAGACATCATATATGAATACAAATATGACCACTCCCCTGAACTCATGATGCTCTTGGGACTGAGTTTTTCTACTCTGTAACACATTTCGTTATGCATCGTAGCTAACATACATCTTTTCTTCAATCATTACACATGTGTATTCCATTTTCAGCCAATATCAATAAGAATAGAAGTGTTCCACCAACAGACAGATAAAGATGCTATTAAATTATTAACCTACAGAGTTGAGTTTAAAGAATCCATGAATAACTATCAGGATTGGTATCCGGTTAACCTGGACGATGCTGTTATTCAAGAAGATGTTTCCATAGTTCAAGGTTTAGCACCTATTTATATGAAGGTATTTTAACGACCTTTTGTATTTCTAACTCATAATCTAACCACACTGACCTCGACAATTGAGATGGATACAGTTTGATCAGTAATATGTACCCTTTGAATTCACCTGAAACTAGTTTTTCAGTGAAACTACTTTTAAGTAGGTCAAAGTAACAAGTGTAATTATGCCTTAAACTACACGTGCATATTCATATTTGTTCCAGATAAGTTGTAGTGGTAATTATTATGGATCAGATTGTTCTGTATATTGTTCAACATACAATGATATCCATAAACACTGTAGAAGTAATGGCACTAAGGTCTGTGCACCTGGTTGGACTGGAGATAACTGTACCACAGGTAATATAATTAATACTCTTAAAGGGAATGTTTATATGCATGGAGTGCGTCAGAGCCGAAAGGAACTGTCTTACATTCTGCAATTATGGTTCTGACAAAAACCTGACTTGACCGGGATGGATTATTAGGTCCATATGACATTATGCTCAACTGACAGCGCGTTGATGTTATATTTGCAGCTGTACCAGTTGAAGAAGTTAACACTGTTGAAGATGAAGGTGAATCTTTACGACGGAGTAAGAGACAGATAGATAGTAAGTCAATATGATTCAAAATGTGGGACAATTTGTCTAACTACCTATAGCTGTGCAGTTTTGCTTCATAAATACCACAGATCCTACATGTGGCGTATTTCTAACTGTCAACAGTCTGAGATTCCCATGAAACAATTTAAAATCACGAAATGATCTATTTTTTCTCATAATCTAAGGTGAGAAGCTTTACGTAACAGTGAACGTTGTTTGTACAAAATCATCTTCAATCGAAAAATGTACCATTAATGAAATTTAACTTAATCCCCTGTTCCTCTGTCTGTACAGATATCTGCTAGCTCACACACTGGATACAGTTACTTAAGATACCATGTGTATAATCCCTCATTCATATTTACAGATCCTTGTAACAGTGCGCCGTGTAAAAACGGAGCTACGTGCGACCGACTGAACGAGAACGATTACGCCTGTATATGTTATATAGATTATACTGGAGAATTTTGTGATAGAGGTAAATATCTCTTTTTTGACACCTTTCACTGCAATTTTGGATTTAGAATCCATAACTGTTCACGGATATCACACTTTCTGCCCCAATGCGAGTTTTTATCACAATTTTAATTGTACTTTTTTTAAGAATGCGTATTTTAGTCAAAGTAATGATGAGAACGATACAATTTGTGTAGCAGGAGCAGAAACATTCGACAATCCTCGACAGTTTCCGTAAAGCTGAATATGTTAAAGAGCGCTACCGTTTGTAGCAGAGTGACCATTGTGTAATAAAGATTCTCAATCAAAGATCGGGGTAATCTAATACATTTTCATCTTTTACTGTCATTGGAAGTTGCACCATTACCTATTTCTTTCAATTTTTTTTAGGTATTGATGATTGTGAGAGCAGTCCTTGTAAGAATGGAATTTGCATTGATAACATAGGTTACTTCAACTGTTCCTGTTACTTTGGGTATACTGGGTCACTTTGTGAAACTGGTAGGTTCAATTAACTCCGACATAAACCGATCCTTTGGATTTACAACAACAACCTCGTCAACCTTGGTCAACCTTGTTTATGCGTGTAGATGAGCTTGTGTCGACGTTTTCAATCGTAAATCACAATATGTCCTTCAGTTACCTTTGACCAACAGACTTGGATGCTGCACCATCTATTCACCTGGAGCATCTATATTAATGTACCTTAGTTTCATCCGACACAACGTCCTTTCAATTGACATCCATTGGTCCTTTGATCCAGATGGATCATTATAGATTTCCAAAGAAGATTACACGTACTAGTAAAATCTTTACTCTTTCCTAGATATACAGGAATGTAGCAGCAACCCATGTCTCAATGGTGCCACGTGTTCAGAAGAAAGAGTAGGAACGTTCCGATGTATTTGTGCTGAAGGGTTCACTGGGAAGAGATGTGAGATTGATATTGATGAATGTACTGTGTTCAGTCCATGTTGGAATGGTGGCGAATGTCTCGAGGGACCACCAGGCAATTATACCTGTATCTGTCCTAAAGGCTTTGGTGGTAAGATCACAGATTCATTTTCATTTTCATAAATGAAATAAGGGTACCCATCTTTAATAAAAACAAAGAAATGCTTGGCTTTTTTTAAACCGTGGCTGCTTATTATGTTCTAAAACCAGGCGAGGTAGAAAAGACTTATATTAAAAATTACACTTGCACCAGATATTAAATTGCTTTTCCTTTCAGGTGTTCAGTGCCGTATAGATATCAATGAATGTGATCCTAACCCGTGTTCTAATGGTGGAACCTGCTTAGAACAGGCACCAGGAGAGTTTGTCTGTAGATGCCCAATTGGTCTTCAAGGAGAATTCTGTGAATTGGACACAGATGAATGTTTCCCGGTCAACCCTTGTCAAAATGGCGGAGTATGTTCTAATGGTCCTAGAGGAGTATATATCTGCAGGTGTCCCGAAGGTTTCGATGGCCAAGACTGTGAGAATGAGGTTGACGAATGTAAATCGGCTCCTTGTATGAATGGCGGGACGTGCAGAAATACATCTCCAGGAAACTTCGCTTGCACGTGTGCCGAAGGTTTTACTGGTGAACGATGTGGTACAGATATTGATGAGTGCCAAGTTTTACAGCCTTGTAGGAATGGGGCGACTTGTCAGCAGGGAATCCCTGGTAGGTAATTTAAGTCATTCAGGAATTCTTGTGATAGGCTGTCACACTTGATATTAGACAATACGAAAGTATTGTGTCCAGATTTTGCCGTTAATTGGAATTGTTCACCTCACACTCCATCCTAGTCCCCTATTTTGGAGAATACATTTAATTTACTTATATTTTCAGGTACATTTACCTGTCTATGTCCAATTGGATTCCAAGGACAGGTCTGTGATGAAGATATAAATGAATGTGCAGCAGCACCTTGCAAAAATGGCGGAACCTGCTCAAACAGTAACAAACCTGGCGAATTTATCTGCCAATGTCTCCCAGGATACAATGGCGTAACCTGTGATGGAGAAATAGACTTCTGTAACAGACGGCCCTGTCAAAATGGCGGAAGCTGTATTCAGAATCAACCAGGAACGTATAACTGTATCTGCATAAGAGGCTTCACTGGTAAAAACTGCGAATCTGATGTTGATGAATGTCTTTCTCAACCTTGTAGAAACGGTAAATATCGTCCACTATAGAAGTAGTATAACAATTATTTTGGACAATCAAAGACATGCATTGTATATCGATGGGTAGTTGATATCTGCAACGCAAGCTATAGACATACATGTTCCATATGTTTTAAGGTGTGTAATAAAGAGCCATGTGGACAAAAGATTGGCATTGTTTAATTTCGAGAATTCTGAACCTGGTTAATAATCAGCCTTGATCAATGGCTCCCCCACTACCGGACAAAAATGCAAGAGAACTGTCACCAAAATTCCCCGGAAAAGGAGAGGAAACGCACTTAAGTCCACGGACTCCCACACATCTAGTTGAGGCTCTGGCCTTGATAATGGGCTGATTTTCGGAAACAGCTCTTTTCTAATTGCTTCTTCTCCATTCATCATTTCTACTTCTTCTCCAGGAGCAACATGTAGTCAGCCAATACCCGGAACGTACCAATGTGATTGTGCTAAAGGTTATAATGGTACACAATGTGATAATGATATAAATGAATGTGCGAGTGGACCTTGTTTAAACGGTGCTGTATGTAATCAAGGTAGGTTGAATACCATCATCAGTAAAGAAGCATCATCTTCACAATGAGCTGGTAAAAGCTCATTTTGACATTGTGAAGATGCAGATTCTTAGTCTGGAGAAGTTGCTAGCAAGGTAATGGGTAATGTTAGTTGGTATTTATGCTTTTCATGAAGGCCTTCTAGTGTTACACTCATTTGTGGAATTTTAAGATATGTTAATATAGCTACCAAATAATGCGCTTCGGATTCTTTGAATTACTGGACTAATCAGTAATACTCGCATATGCATACAAGGGCAGTACACTGCTAAGTTACTATAATGTACACTCTATTGTGACAATCTCCGTGGAAGTTTCAGAACTTAAAGGCATCAATTTTAATTTCTAATGTCATTATTCTCAGGTCGACCGGGATCATTCATCTGTTCCTGTAGACCAGGGTACACTGGTATAATCTGTGAAGCTGATATTATAGAATGTAACTCACAACCATGTCAGAACGGTGGAACATGTAAAGAACCACAACCTGGAATGTTCCAATGTCAATGCCCTACCAATTTCAGAGGCAGGGTAAGTATGCTAAAGATAGGGTAGGATATCAAAACGAATATCTAAAATTCACTCTCTGATATTTGAAACTGCAATAATAAGTGTACCTGTTCTCCACTACTAGATAAATCCTAGACCAAAACATCTGTCTCTATTCCAGCCTCTGGACAGATTTCAGCTCTCCAGCTGACAACTGTCAAAATATCCATCAGAGGCTGGATTAGAAGCAGACTATATACATTCCAAAGATTTTTCAACTAAAACAGAACAGAATGACAATACAGGGGTTGATTTCCAGGGCTTTTTCGTCGTTTCATTACTATTGTTTGGGTGTCAGAACTGTGTAAATCAGGGCCTTCCCTGGCATTATAGGTATGTGAAGCAGAGATTGAAGCCTGCTCCTCCCAGCCATGTCGTAATGGTGGATCTTGTGAATCACTAGCTGGTGGCAACTATAGATGTACCTGTCAGCCTGGTACAACAGGATCTCAATGTGAGGAAGATATCGACGAATGCGCTGAAAATCCTTGTTTAAACAGTGGAACCTGTTCTCAACCTAAACTTGGTGATTTCTTCTGCTCTTGTCCTGATGGTTATTATGGCAAGAGATGTGATGTTGGTAAGAATCTTGTTGTTATCATGTTCATTTCCTTATAGTAGATCGTAAAACAGCTCATTCTGTGACCCCTGCACCAGTATAGTCATTTCAGTTAGACTTTTGATTAAATCTCATGCAATCAGATTATGCATACACATCTCATGATTTTGACCATTATGGTCGTGATGCATGTCGATGGTAGGCCTACTCCTTTTTGGAGGAGTTCACTACGGTACAACTTTTACTCTCAGTTTTGCCATTCTTGATTGAATTGTCTTACCAGTACGGATAGTAAGATAGATGAAGTCCGCAATGTTATCACGGTCAAAGTCTTAATTCTTCATTAACAGATTGGTCACTCTGACGCAGTGGTCTTATCCCATTCTAACAATAGAAAACTACCATTACTCATCTGATCCAGTTGCAGCAGCACTTCTGCATTTCGAATCTCAACAGGTGCCCCAACCCATTAAATAAATATGTTATCCATGTTATCTAGATATTGATGAGTGTGAAGTGTTAAAACCATGTTATAATAATGGAACATGTAAAAATGGTGATCCGGGAGAGTATGAATGTACATGTTCTCCTGGTTTTAGAGGTGATAACTGTGCTGTGGGTAAGTTATAAATGTTACTGTAGAGACTGTTAAAAATAAAATTCAGTTAAAATGGCCTCTGTGGTTTTTGCGGGGGAATGAGGCTGGCCCGTCACTCTCAAACTTCTTTTCATTTTACATAGGGCCAATATACCACACACAACCCATGACAATTCTCAAACTCTACCACGCCAAACCCGTCCCTCCTATAGATAGATTAAGATTATTTGGCGACATGGAAATGAGCTAATAGATCGTATTTCAATATCATTTATAGCAATATTGATATATACATCGAAGAAATTTTCAGTGGGCAATAAAGGCTAACATGTTCATTAACAAAGTTTAACGTATAATATATTTTTTTAAACTAGACATCAATGAATGTGTTCCCAACCCCTGTCTGAACAGAGGTAAATGTATAGAAGGAGCACCAGCAACCTATAATTGTACGTGTGCTGATGGGTACTTTGGAGCGAGATGTCAGCAAGGTAAATTTTTTAACATTCAAAAATGTATGCAGAAAAACAAGCAACCTGACATTATTAATGGTTTAAGAGAGGTGATATTTTTGGATAATGCGGTAATTTTTGTTTTATGAAATTCATTGCTAATAACTTTTATTAATATAGGCTTGCGGCAGGTCTCGCAAGCGACTACGCCCACCAGCAGCTTGATAAAGAGCTAAATGTGAACTGTAAAACAAACTCTATATCGTATGCGATATCTCTCAAGAAAATCATCGGATCCTCACCAAATTAAATAGTGCACATCTTCATAATGATATTGACACACATACAAAAGATCAAAAGAATCCATAGAGAATTGTAGCCTGTAGAGTGAGCACGAGTAAAAAAAATGAGAAAAAAAAACGAAAGTGATATCAGAATTTTTTGCGATATCTATCAAGAAAATCATCGGATCCTCACCAAATTGAATAGTGCACATCTTCATAATGATATTGACACACATACAAAAGATCAAAAGAATCCATAGAGAATTGTAGCCTGTACAGTGAGCACGAGTCAAAAAGGTGTGAGAAAAAAAAACAAACGTGATATCAGAATTTTATGCGATATCTCTCAAGAAAATCATCGGATCGTCACCAAATTCAACAGTGCATATCTTCATAATGATATTGACACACATACAAACAATCAAAAGAATCCTTGGAGAATTGTAGTTTTTAGATTGGGCACGAGCAAAATAAGTGAAAAAAACCAACGCAATATCAGAGTTTTATGCGATATCTCTCAAGAACATCATCGGATCATCACCAAATTGAATAGTGCACATTTTCATAATGATATTGACACACATACAAAAGATCAAAAGAATGTATGGAGAATCGTAGCCTGTGGAGTGAGCACAAGGCAAAAAAGTAAAGAAAAACGAACGCGAAATCAGAGTTTTATGCGATATCTCTTAAGAAAATCATTGGATCATCACCAAATTCAATAGTGCACATCTTCATGATATTGACACACATACAAAAGTTCAAAAGAATCTATAGAGAATTGTAGCTTGTAGAGTGAGAACAAGGTAAATGTGAACGGACGGACCGACAGACCGACAGGGGCAACCACAATATACGCCCATACTTACGTGTGGGCGTATAAAAATAATCGGTTTTCCTAATTTTTCTCCATAACCTTCTGCTGTCACGCAGCTTGTAGACTATCATAGATACAATATATAGACACAGCTTTATGGAACAACAATCACTGATTAAAGTTTTATGCAACGTTTCGACGTGTTTCCCCCGTCGTCCTCAGGCACATAATGAGAAGAAGTGATGGGCAAACTATATATACATTAATCATTATCATAGATACATTTTAAAATATATGAGTAAATAAGCACATACTAACACTTATAAAATTCTGAATGATTGTTAATATTCTAATAATTCTTGTTTTTTTCAAGAGGAACTTTGTCATAATAAATGTCAGAATGGAGGAACATGTGAGGTAAGATTTAATGGCTAATTAAGTAAGAATGTTCATCCCATTTGAAGTATTAGACTGACAGTCTGCTTGTATCAGTCTCACAAGAATAAGATAGTGAGTGACTATCCTCTATTACTCAGGCATGGACAGGACAAACCAAAAAAGTGGGAGGTTGAAGATTCAAAATTAGAGTATATACATGGGCATTTTAATACTTATTTTATTTTTTTTAAAAAAAAAAATTTAAGCTCGCTTTTCAAAATCGTCTGCAGTGCTGTTACACATTTTCAGCATTAATTTTTTTTTTAGCAAGACTTATCTCTTGTTTATCTTTGTGTATATTGTCAGTGGCGGAGCCAGGTATTAGTCCACTGTATACTGTATATGAATAAAATATTTGAAAATTTTACAGGAGATAACAGAAAGCGACTATATCTGTTACTGTGTACCAGGGTTTACTGGTAGAAATTGTCAAGTTAATATTGATGAATGTACAGTCAATCCTTGTCAACAAGACGGTCTATGTATTGATGGAATTAACAACTATTTCTGTGCTTGTATGAAAGGTATGGAAAATATATTTCTTTACTGGCTCCAGTATATAGCTATAATATATAAGGTTGATATCTTGTGTTAACTGTAATGATCGTAAATTCAACAAAATAATCCAAGGAACTGCATGAACCATGAATGAGCTCAACTCGACTTCTGAAACTGTCTAGTTAAAATGAGACCAAACTTTTGTACAAAAGGTGTATATAGAGAAGCATTAGATAAGTTTATCAACTGAACACACCTTTTTTTCACCTCACAAAATCCCAATGTTGGAGAGCGGTGAACTCTGATTGGCTGGCGGTGTTATCAATGGATGAATGTTCAAGAGGGCTGTCGTTAGACCCTTCCTAAAGTGGCTATATTAAAATCAAACGCTAATTAAAAACAGAACAAAAGTTGAGACTAATTTTAATTAGACAGCCTCTGAAAGAATCCACATACTGGCCATTTTATTCCAACTGAATATATTTTTTCAGGAACAACTGGTAAATTTTGTGAAACTAATATTAATGACTGTTCACCCACTCCCTGTTTAAATGGTGCTAAATGTACAGACTGGACTGATGATTATTACTGTACTTGTCCTAATAATTACGCTGGTAAAAACTGTGGTATGTATATTATATAAATAAATGGTTACAGTTGAAACAGTTCTAGCACTGAAACTTGAACTAAAATGTTCCAGTAGATTTGAATTTGTTGCTTTCAATGCAAGTGATTATAGCAATTGATCACCCATAATTGACTACCACAATGCATAAGTATAGGCAATCACCATGAAGAGTGTTATTTGTGATATGTGTATATTGCTTCTTTTTGCATTACAACAAAACTATTAAGCTAATTCGAAATCTATTCAGGCGCCTTATTATTGAAAACTTAACTTAATGTTCGAGTCAATCACTAAAAGCGATTTTATATTTAGTTATGTTATCCAATCAGATTACTGGATTTCTCAAAATCTTTAATTCAAATTATCCTTTGGAGACTAATGACCCAGTTGTGCTAACAATTTCATATATCACTAAAACAACATATTTTTTTGTTATTCAACAGAGAAATCAGAACCTGGTGCTGTGTATGTAGCGTGTGCCAGGAACCAATGTTTAAATGCTGGAATGTGTTGGCAGAACAGAGACGGTTCCTTTAGATGTGAATGTCCTAAAGGTAAACATTAATATCAATGAAAAAGGTTCACATCGACAGCGTTAATGGTTATTATTTGACTTATTGAGCTGTAACACAATGAACAGCTATGACCAACTTTTGAATCTAGACTAAGTAACTCTCTGAGCACATATCTCATATATCTGTCTGGATAAGAAATAGAACTGAAACAATCTTATTTCAGGATTTTCTGGTGTACGTTGTGAGATCAATCTAAATGATTGTGGATCACGACCATGTAAAACTGGCGCCAAGTGTTACGATTGGATTGATGATTTTTACTGTTACTGTCCAACATGGACATATGGAAAATACTGTGGTCAGTTGAACATTTTATTAAAAATTTGAAATTCATTTTCTTTAAACTTAATCAAGTGGAATACATCTTGAACATCTTTAGACCCAACTTAAGAATCATGTTTCAGTGACATGCAAACTCATAATTGTTTACCTTTTTATTTTTGTGTTTATCAATATCAATTGGCATCAATAATATTTTCAGTCAGACTGATACAGTTCTTGTAATTAAGTATTTTATGGATCTATAAGTGACTATTGAACAGGTCCTTATTATTTGCAGCTTTTGCAATAGTGACGTTTTAGTTTAAGTAGAACTGCAATAACCTTAGACATCCTATTTACAATTCCTGTAACTTTGTTATATTTTAGAAGGGTGGTCCAATGTTTGATTTATCTTTCAATTCTTTGAAATCACAATGCCTCATTTCCCTGTACTTAATGTTCTTGTTCATATTTCAGATAATATAACAACTATACCAGTAACAACAGTGGCTCAACCACAGTTTGGTACCGCTCGGTATGGTATCAACCCCCTAACTTTAGCTATATTACTAGGTATAATATTTGGTATAGTCTTTATACTGTTCCTGGCTGGGGTTATATGGTTTTATTTAGGAAGAAGAGGACCTAAAGATTTCTGTTTTGCTCTACCATCTTCTATGTATAATAAACTTTATGACTGGCATGAAAGTACATTTAGTTCTGACAGATTTTAATAATTGTTAGTCATAATAAATCTAATTTCATTGAATCAGAATTTTGAAAAAATATGTGACAAAGGTAGAATAATGCTTTTAATAGGAATATCAGAAATCAAGAGTTATGAAGTTTAGCTGTACTCTCATCTTGACTGAGCTTTAGAGCCAAATGGCTTTATGCTTATAGATTTCATAGATTCAAAATGTCTTCAAACCCACGAGGGTCTTTTTGAGTGTGAATATAGATAACAGATGAAAGAATTGTCCATATTTCAAATGTCTTCTAAAGATAATGTCAATCACAAAGTTTATTGTATAATATTACTATATCAATCAAAATATATTTTGATATTAAATGTCTTCAATTGGTATTACTCTATGTAACAACTATTTATAATTTGTGTATATGTATATATATATCAATACATTTTTTATATGAAATAATATATATTCAATTTGCTATTAATTTTATAGTTATAGTAGGTATTTCAATGCCAAATATGCAATATGAAGGCATTCTAACATTTTCATTATCTTAAGAATAAACCTAAGAATATGAATATTATATGATAATGATAATTATAGACTTTTATAATTAATTAAGCTCTGACTGTCTGTTTACAGTCCTGTTTATTTGAGAAATTTGTTTTGCTTTTAGAGGCTTTCATTGCTAGTAAACATGGTTCTTACAAAATGTTGGTAGAAAAATATTTTTTCCTCATTTCTAATTTTCTATTCCATACCCACAAAATGGTTTATTTTTATAAACTTTATATTATTCAATATGTTTAAACTGCTTGTATATGTATTTGCTTTTGTATAAATAAATTGTGTAACAATTCATGTATTTTTTCTGTATGCCATCTATGGTGAAGCTACATCAACCAAGATTATACCCAAATATAGGTGCAATATTTTACACATTGTCATAATTTCAACTTGTAGTATATACCATGTCACTGTATCAATTAAAAGTTTATTTTTGTGAGAGGTACCATAATAATATCATATCATAACAGGCTTTATCATAGGAGAGTGCTTTTTGTACTCAAGAATTTATCTCAAGTTCTGCCTTGTGTTGTGTTAAAGAAGCATGAATTATATGAATACAAAATAAACTGGCCACAGTGTTGTAACATGATAGAAATGTCTTTGAATGTGTTGAAGAGACAATGACATTTCAGATACATTGTTTATCATTAGAGCTAGTTTGGAAGGTGGTTGTTTGAAAAAGATATAACTTCGAATTCAAAAGATTTCCAAGAGAAAGATAACCTTACTGCAATGTATCAAATAGCAATTACCATAAAGTAAAAACCACAACATATTTTATTTTACACTAAACAGACATCTGTACATACAGATATACACACATCATATATCAGAACAACAGTACTATTTCTTTACCATAGAATCAGGTACACTGCCACCTCCTGCTTGTAGAATCTGATGTTCTTGAAAACGCTGAGATATTCTCTGAGTAACTTTTAAGAATTTTTCTAAACAATTGAAAGCACAAGTCTCCTGCAAAATAAGAAATTTTCATTACAGTCTTTTACATATCAAATCAGATCAATCAATCTAAAAGAAGAACTACCATTAAGGTTGTTTAATGAGCACTGAACACCAATGGATGTCCCAGCCAATTTTGAACACAGACCAATTTGAATCTCATTTTCTGTTACTAGGCAATGCTTAATAAAAGATCAATCAGTATCTCAAGAAAGACCATTGTAGGAGTTCAACAAATTACTTTCAAAGTTGAACACCTAAAAGCAAAAACCATAGGTCAATGTGAAACTCGTTCTCCTTTCTTGAAAATGTTAAATTTACACAAAAATGAAAACACTTACCTCTGTATTGGTAACTTTTCTAGTAGTAAAATCTGTGATACAATCTAAGAAACACGCTTCTGATAATTTATTAAACTGAGTGAGAAATTCTTTAAACTGAAAAACAAATGAAATTAAAATAGTTTTTCATTGCTTTTCCATTCCATTCCAGATCAGGCTACATTGTGCACTGTGGGAATTTTTTTCCAGGACAGTTGCATTTTCTCTCTTCCAAATTTCAGCTTCCAAATGTCATGGGGCCTTTAACACGCACAACCTGTTACCTCTGCTCTGTCTATTGTCCAATCTGAAAAACTAAAAGGCTTTTTGTATGTTAGTCTCTGCAAGATGCACTAGGTTAAGAAAATGGTAAGTTTTTCAGAAATGTACAGTCGAGTAACCTAATTTCGTGGAAACCTATTATTCGTGGATTTCCGGAAAGGATTAATAATTTACATGAGCGACCTTGCGCGACCTCCGCATTAGTTTGTTTTAATAAACATGGGTTTTCTCTACAATATCATCTGGTAGAATGAATCCAGTAGTTTCAAGCAAGGTAAAATGTATTAATGTATACTTTGACAAATACAAAATGGCGGATTTCAGTTATAACCAAACGTCACCATTTTTTATCAGCCGAATTTCCTCATAATCCCTAGCCGTAATCGGAATTCCAAGTGTCGTCTGCTAGAATGTAGTCCAACGAATGAAGTCACGTGATCAACTACCGGATTCCGTGGCAGCAGAAAATTTCTATGGAACACAAAGTGGACCATATTCTTATGTTGTTTCAGTGACTTTTATCAATAAATCACGCTACGTATCTTATTTTGTCAGTCACTATTTTTTTTTTAAATCGTGGTTCTTTGAAGGAATTGTCACTAGTTATAATGAATTGATATTAAAGATAAATACTAAGAGAAGTTAATTATACCACCCGGTATCCATTGATACAACGTGTTTTTCTAGACTTATTTATAGTTCAAACATTGTACACGAAAATAGGTGACGCATTCTGACGCCGTTGCCGAGTTGGTTGCTCATGAAATATGGGTCAAAGTGAAGGATTCATAAAGAAAATCGAAATAAACCAATTTTAATTATTTTGTAGAATATCTGAGGAAACATCTAAGACATAAAAAAAATTTTTTTGTTTTTTAATTTTGACGAAATTCGGTGTTGAATCCTTATATCCACGAAAATAGGTTACACCACTGTAATTATATTCAAATTGGAAGAGAACTAACATTAACAACAATATTGCAGCTTAACGTCAGTAGTATCTGAGTCTTGAGTGTCACCGGTAATGTATAAATAATAAATAAATATAACCAACCTGTCTAACAGTACTCTCTGTTTGATCTGGAGTCGGCTGAGTCATTCTTGTTCTTTTTACTTTATATCCTAATATAACCTGATCAAATTAAAGCACAATTAATCAAACGATATGGCTTTTGGTCGATATGACTGGTCAGCTGGACCAAAAATAGATAGCATTCAGGTTTCGAACGCAACAATAATATGCATGCTTTGAAAGTTTAAACTTGACCTACAATTTAGCAAGCAACCCATTCATATTGTAGATGTACTCAGTTGGTTAGCCATGAAATGAGTGTCATTTCCATCGACTTTAATGTGAATCTCAAAAATTTGACATACCTAAATAAATTACTCTCTCTCAACTCATGTGCATGATTTTGTTGATAATTGATCGAACGCAACTTTTAAAGGAAGGGGGAGCAACTCTAGAAAACAAGTTTGCAAGACTTGACATTCGAGACTCTATTATGAATTTGTGGGAGACTTGTATGAACTTGAAATTTGTAAATAAACGAAGATGAAAAAATGTAGAATTTATCAGATGACTTATTTTTAAGTAAGTTGTTTAGTTTCATGATTTGGAGAAAAGAGTCCGGCATTTATTTCAATATGGTTTCAAAACAAGACATTGTTTTCCGCACAGCAGGCACTGAAACCGTAGTGAATCATCTAAATAATGGCAATGAGAGATAACATCAAATCACTGTCAGTAGCCCTACACCGACTTTATCCCCTACTCTACCTGCTATGAATATTTTCCTATGCCTACAGCACATGCTGATAACCAATATTATTACTGAAGTATAAGTGTAAGCTTACTTATTAACTTTAAGCTTACAATTAAATCCGATCCAGTTTAAATAGATGTAATCAAAGTAGACTTGAATTGATATTTCAGCTGAATGATGGAGGAGCCAGCAGTTAGGAGCTGTCTGCTAGATATGTTATCAGTGACAGACACTGCAGTCAATTCAATAAGGAAAAATCCATCACCTAAATCCAACAACAGCAACAACCCAGATGTAAGTTGTAGTCAGTCTTCAAGTGTCAGCCAAGAATCGTGTAAGGAATCAGTTGGAGGAAGTACAACAGTCAGTGAAGTTCTCATTGCCTCTACCAATGTGGCAAGATGTGAATTAGACGACAAGCCACTACCAAAACAAGTTACTGTTGTACGTCACAATGGCATGACTATTAAGTCTGATGTTGATGTTATTAAATCACAGAATACTCTGCTACGAATGTTAAGTGACAGCAGCTATGATGATGAAGGGAAAGAAAATTTACCAATGGAAGAAAGTATGTGGTGTTATTTTCTTTTCATTCCTTTACATGGAACTGTCTGATTACCTGTCACTATAGTACAAATAGTATAATAACAAAGCAGCCTGTTAAACATAATTTTGATCATAAGGAAAAACTTGACACATCCTTACTGCAATCCATAGATAAAAGTTCAAAGTTCAGATGGATTTACATAACACAATACCTATGTAATACTACCTAAAAAATACTTTATTTGAGCAAATTTCGACTAGATTTCTCTAGTATTTATCAAGCAATATGAAATGGATTAGAGACTAATGGCTATCTTGAATCTATTTGGTTCATTCAAGATGAAAAATGATTATGAAAATTTGTCTTTAAATATTACAATTACATATATAAGCTTATATAATTTCTATTTCTGTTATATATTTTCATAGATGTGAATGATAGTATAGTATCAGTAGAAGGCAGAATTACGATCTCAAGTGATAGGAAAACTGACTCAAGAAAAGACAGGTTCTTGCAGGTGGATAGAAATCATAATGTTAAAAAGGTAAGTGTTATTCACTGACTTATTATTTTTCTTTAAAAGTTGAAAAACAAATTTCCTCTCAGATCCAAATATTACAAATGACTCCCCAATTCCAATTATCCTGATGAGGATTTTTTATCCAAACAAACAGATTACACTCATGAGACTGAAATCTGAATTTTAACACCAGACATTGGTGTAATGAACCTTATTCTGACTCATGTAAGGAGCCGTGGTGGCTCCAGGGTTCAATATTACGTTCGGAGTGTTCGGCAAAAATTCCCTCAATGCACCCTGCATGGCGTTGCCCGACTTGGATAACCCACATGGTGCAGAAAAGTAGGATGTTAAACTCCATTCAATTCATTTCATTTCTGACTCAGGTAAAACTGGATTGAAATTGTTTCCAAATTAACATGACCTTATTTTATGATATGATTTGATTAATGATTAAATTAACTGTTATTTTAGAATCAAGGAGTGGAATCAGAGACCTGTTCCTCAGCTAGAACTACCACTGGTAGCAGTATACAAGATGATGTTAAAATTGAACAGTTTCACTTGACAGACAAACAGAAATCTCTACGACAATTATTAGGCAAAAAGTAAGTCTTTGTAAATTTGATTAAGAGGAAGAAAATTTTATCATTTAACTAAATTGCTTGATTCTGTCAGTCCAAATCCCTGTTATTACTTCAACTCTGTGATTTCATGGGGACAGAGAAATCCCATAATAACTTTGAAGGTTTTGAGGCATATAAGAATTACCATTTGTTAAATAACCATATTTTTCTTCTCAATTTTGTTACGTTGGGCTTATTTTTGTTTACCATGTTCTAAGACATAAATTGATATGGCCAGTTTTGCTCTTTTCTATGGGCCTGACTTGCATGTAAATGGCAAATTATTTTTGATTTTGAAGGTCTGATCAAAGTGGTCCTGTTAAAAGAGTTATCCATCCTAAATTACTACAGAAACAGGAACCAGTCCAGAAGATGTGTAAGAAAGATGAAGGATGTGTATCTAAGGAAATGTTGGCAGCGTCAGTTGCTGCTTCTGCTGCAGCAGCTGTAGCTCAACCCTTCTTTCAGGTTTGTGGGTTAGTCCCTGGTTAAAACCATTAGATGTAATAATAATGAGATTCTGTGCTTTCTAAGATGTAACAATTGTGACCATTATATTAGATAGATAAAAAGAGCAATAGCAGAGTTATATATCCAAGCCAGATAAGAAAGTCCTAATAAGAGAATATGTTATGATATAGTTTCAGAAAGAGTTTGAAGATAAGATACACCAGACGTATCATCTAGTTAAAAATAATCCCCAGTCTACTGAAGATAGTGATAAAAGGATTGAAGAGCTAGAGAAAAAGGTGTCTGTTTTAAATGAACAAAGAATTGATCATCTAGAGAAATTACAACAATATCAGATGGAAATACAGGTAATGTGGCAACTTTGACCTTTTTTTGATACTAAACATTTTTTTTTTTACATTTATAACATATTTTCTCATCTTCGGTTTCATGTCAATATTTCATTACAAATTGGAAAAGTTTTATATATTTCACTTTTTCAGAATATAAATAGTGTTTCGTAATCAAGCCAAAGCTTATGCTAATCTGTTGCCTAACAAAAATTCATCAGTTAAGAGTCAAAAGCAGGAAAGATGTTTACATTTGTTTGTTGATCTGTTAATTTCAGACTCAGATGCTGTCACAGCCCTGTAAACAAACAAATCCATCTTATCACAGTGCTAAACCAGGTGTAATATCAGTTGCCCCAGGGGTTGATAGACCTTCACAGTTATCTCCCCCTAGAGTCCCATCAACTGTTTATTTCCCCAGACAAGCTCCACAACCAAAGCATTACTCCTACCCATCTGAACATTCTGTAGATCCTTCATACCCCAGAGAGCCACCTACTGCTGCATATTTCCCAAGGGATTACCCACATGCTAGTAGAGCGAGAGAACCAATATATCCCGGAATAGACCAACCAGGTACCAGCAAATCAAGAGATCCTCTGTATTCAGCAGATTTTCAAAGAGACCATCCACAATCCAGAGATATTTCTCGAAGAGAACCTTCTCCAAATGTTATTTATCCACGAGAGGACAATCGTCCAGGTCATATTCCAAGAAACCCAACATCAAGAGCCCATTTTCAAAGGAGTCCTCCTCCACAAGATGGTAGAGGAAAATATTTTCCTGCCAGAGACAGATCTTTTTCTCCAAGTCGTAATAATGAGCCAGCATTTAAAATCTCACCTAAGAAAGCATCCCAAGTTAAATTGTCTCCATCCCGAGCACAATCATCCAAATATCAGCAATCAAAAAGAAAATCACCACCAAGACAAGAAGTTAAATATTTTCCACGAAAAAGAGAGCAGCCTAAACGATCACCTGTGAAAAATAAAGAGAGAAAAGATTCTCCATTGGATACCCCAGCTCCAAGAACCAGAGTTCCTACTCCCATGGTTTATGATGATGAGGTTTCTCACACTTCTGATCCTAGATTTAACTGTAAGCATTTTCATATATTCTCATACCTTATCAAGCTAAAGTGTTGTTATATACCACAAAAAAACTAGTCAAGGGGTTTCTAATAATATATTTACACTGAATCACCCTAATCACTAATATAAAACATCCATTACAATTAATCATAGTTGTAGAATATGCATCTGTGTTTAGTTCTGTTTTAACTATTTAGTGCTTTGCGTAACAGCAAATTAATTTTACTCTAAGGATACACTTTCAGCTCTTGAGTACTGGTATAACTTAATAATTTTGAGGCCAATGATAAATGTTTCCAAGTACCTGATACCAACTAAGAGTCTACATAGTTATTTTGGTATATTTTAGTAGAGTTAAGTAATAAGTATTTATCTGTTTGTAAATAATGTTTTATTTTAGATGGAGGATTATTAGAAGAGATAATGGAGAAGAATAGGTCTCCATCTAGACCCGATAAAGATACAACTTTCTCTGTTCCTGATGATACACAATATAACAGGTAACTTTCTTTCAACTCCCACAGGAACCGCAGTGGCTAAGTGAAATGAGGCTTGACGATCCAAGGGTCAATCATGGCATAGATTGTGATGATACCTTTGGACTTAAAGGGACAGGTGCCATTCTTTTGACCAATCATACTTTAGTCTCAGAAACAGAAATTTTCTTAGCTAAGCCATTCAGTAATAGTCTTTACAGCTCACAGTCGAAATTTGAGCCTTCAAATCCATATGTATCCACATTTGAAAGATACTCTGTGATATAAAGAAAAGACATATATATATATAGAAATAGCGAGTAAAATTTTAGATATTTTTGAAGGAATTATGTGATTTTCGTACATTTCTAGACTATTTACATATTTTCAAGACTAAAATCAACCCCCCAAAAATGGAGCATCTGTCCCTTTAATTTCCCCTTGTCAATGATGTAGGCTGACATTGGAAGGGTCTAGTTGTTCATATTGCACTGTTCAAATTGGAAAATCAACAGAAACCTCATGTACCACAGTGTGTGCATGTTAAAGATTCCTTGACAGTTAGGCAAATGTAGCTGTCTTGGCATACTGCATGGAATAGTCTGACCCCTGATCAGTTCCATCTACAGCTTCTAACCACTTAAGAATAATGCTGTTTTTTGATTCAATAAAACCTAATCATTGGTTCAAACCATAGTAAAGGCATTGCAACCCAACATCACACAATATAAAAATACATACACAGTTAGTACTGGTACTACAATTCTAATAATATACTTTATGAATACATTGAACAAACATGCAATACAAGATGGTTTAGCACTAAGTCAAAACAAACAAAACATGCATACCAAAAGAGTTAATATTCAATAACATATGCGTCAAGCAAACCAATCTTCCCCTTAAAGATTCTCAAATAACACTGAACTCGTTAGATATTGGTCTAACAAAGAACTGGTACATCGAAAATGAATTAGTAGGGAAAGGTCCTGATTTGGTTTCAGTAATTTTTATAGATCACACTCGAGTATGGAATACATATTTGTACAGTTGTCAACATAGATTAAAGAATGTGAAGCCCGTTTGTGCATTTGCGTGCAGTACACCTAGCAATTTGAATGAAGGGTTTTTGTAATCTTGATTAAAGGGAGGTAACTAGTATAATCTTAGTTCAGTCCGCCAACACTGTCGGACACTGTGCGCTTTTAAGCAAGAACAATATAGGCCTACCGACTTAAAATCTGTAGAGATATCGACTTTTTACAGGTTAATGCAATGATCTAGTATATGTTATAAGTGAGAAAGAGTGATGTGTGTTGGGAAATGGTACATCGGTACTAATATTGGGGTGGGGTGTTAGAAGAAAAGGCTTCTCTACATTTAGTTGAAGCAGGAGTACGGAACTTTGATGAGGTCAGACGAATGAGCAGGGAAGAGTAAAATGACAAAAATAAGGGTTTTTGAATTTTTCGAGAAATACCAACGGCAAATACTACCATTTGCCATTGAGAAAGACAAACCCATCTCTGTATAGTCCTAGGCAAACACAAAAAGCGCTAAAGTTCGATTGTCTATATAGATTAATCCATTGATCGTGAGGACTTCGCGATCGAAATAGACAATAAGTGAATAACAAACCCGCTTAGCTCTTAATCCTATGTTTGTCATTGTCTACAATGGTTATACGACGGATTAAAGAAATTGCGAAGTTTTTTTTTTTTGGAAAAGTGATAAGTCACGTGTTGAAGCATGTGGTATTTTTCTGGTCCATTTTCAATATTGGCCTAGTGTGTAGGTCTACATAGGGTCCGCGTGACGAGACACTAACAATGTCTGCTCGACATGTTACTTCTATGAATGGCATGTTTCTGCGCATGAATCCTAAAATGCACGTGTAAAATACAGTTGTCGGCGCGTGAATTTAATTCCCGCGTACGTAAAAACCGCGAACGTGATCTAGATTAATGGATATTACCATAGAAATTTATGATGGGTTTATTACACATTATCAATACTTTTATAGCGTAGAAACACAACGACGTAAAACTTCTTGGGTAGGCTAGGCTATATATATTTGAGATTTTTGACTTGCTTGGAAACAGAATCAATATTATGACTACTTGAGGCGGTCGATTGAGTTGAGAGTATCTATTGAAACCATGACACGTTATTCTGAATTAATTTGAATGTAATGCAAATAGACGGATAGAAAATTAGTTTTCAAATCGCGTGAGCACACGACATTTCGTGATTATTTTTCTCACTGTCGACTAACGGTACAGTGAAGAGTTTTAACCAGGCACATCGAATACATCTTATTACGCATGCGTATCACGTCATTCTGGCCGGATATTCATGTCAAATTGTTATGAGAACTGAAAGAATTTGCTCCAAATAACTTTTTCAAAGTATGTTTATAAATGGATGAGAACATAGTGATTGTGTCGTGCTCGACATCTGTGAATGAATTTGAACGATATTTTCAGCAAATGCCGACGTGTTATTGAAGTTGTCTTTTGAAATCCGTTACCTGTGTCTGGTTTTGGACATTCGTAAAAAATGTCCATGCCCCATCGATCGCAGCGTCAACATTGCTATTTATGCGACCTCCCCAGAACTCCATGGGCGATGTTGCATGATTTTTCTGAGGCTGTGTGCCGTGGATGTGTCAATTATGAAGGACCCGATAGAATAGAAATGGTAATTGATGCAGCAAGACAAATGAAAAGATCACATGGTGTTCAGGAAATTCATTCAAAGTATTCTGCAGGAGTGTCAGTTGGTGCCATCCACGGTCCTAGAGCAGTGTCATCAGCAGTGAACAATAACAATGCAGTAGGATATCCAGATACTTCAGCCTACAATATGGAGCCACCTAATGCAAGAATGCATCATGGACATTTGCCAACGTCTCCTGAAAGATTTTCAATGCATGAACTTAGAGCAAGAAGCCTGCCAGAAGTTGGCAGCAACATGGCTATTCGACCAACTAATGGAATTGGTTCTGTTGTTGGACATAGTGTGCATGAACACCATATTATGCCTCGTGGTAGTTCTATGTCTGTACATCCCATACGTTCAGGCGTTCCACTCAGAGGAATTGTAGCTCCACATGCACAATTGAATAAAAGAGTTGAATCAGAAGAAGATGAGAGTTCCAGTCATTCTATCAATGATGATGGTATCGGAAGCTCTAAAGCCAACAGTTCAGCTTCCAGCTCAGAAGAGTTGAACATCAACAGACCTTTAGCTGTCAGAGAGACTTTATCTGTTCTCATGACTTGTGTTCCATTCAAAGTTCGGTTTAAAAAGGATCATTTGCTGACTGGAAGAGTGTTCACATTTGATGCATGTTTAAATGCCAATATGACATATGAACTAAAAGTGTTTATTGAATATCCACTGGGATCTGGGAGTATTTACAGTAGTGCTAATGGTGTAGTCAAACAAATGTATCAGGACTGTTTGAAAGACCTTGGAAAAAATCTGTCCTTTGGATTAAAATATTTGGAATATGAGATGAAACAGGGCAGTTCTGATTGGCGAGTATTCTCTGATTTTCTCACTGATGGTGTCAGAATATTCAAAGAACCAGTAAAAAAAGAAATGATACCCTGTCCTTATGTAGATAAATCATTGCCACCCTTGCCAAGTTTATCTACCTTGGCAAGAATTTCAACACCAATGCTTCAAAATGGTAAAGTAGTGTATGATCAGAACTCGCGGAAGAGAAAGGCATCCCCAGCAATGGAAGGTGATTTAAAAGATGAACCAAAACGTCACATGTGGTTACAAAAACCAATTACTGAAGACCTCAAGTACAATGCGTCTGCTGCTTACAGTTCTGGGATTTCCAGTTCCACCTCAGCTTCCCCAGTTGGCCATCCTGCTCCCACTTCCCCTGATACTGCTGTTCCTCATTCTGAATCCTCTCCTATGACAGCTTTAATGACCGCCACAAAAAATCTTACCAAAACATCCAGTGTTAGTGAAGGTCAAAGTTCAAAAACATTAGTGTCATCTCGTGTTCATTCTCTTCCAGGCCCTGTGTCTGATGCAGGTATAGGTAGTACAAGTAGTTCAATGCCAGAGTCCACAGTTCCTAACTCGGAAGCCCTGCGCTGTACAATTTGTGAGGAAAGACTAGAGGACACACATTTTGTTCAATGTCCATCAGTGATAGAACATAAATTCTGTTTTCCATGTTCAAAAGACAGTATAAAAAGACAAGGTGCTGGATCAGAAGTTTACTGTCCCAGTAACAAAAAATGTCCGTTGGCCGGCTCTAGTGTTCCATGGGCTTTCATGCCTGGTGAAATTGTGACAATTCTCGGTGAACAATATCGTGATGTGAAAGTCAAGAAAGAGGTGGAAAATTGAACTTGGTTAGAATTCTATTTAATATTGGTGACATACATTATTTAAACAACTTGGGTGCAATCACTTGGAATTATAAACTCTATGATCATCTTTGGGGATATCTCAAACTACTAGCATTTAAAAAAGAGAGTTATGAATTAGTGTTACTAATGAATCAATACATCGCAAGGATGCCAGGATGTGTGCATCATATCACATGGTCATCTACCGAACTTCACAATACCAGGCATACATCTGAAAGCAGTACCCACTACTGCTGTTTTAAATCATTGAAACTTTGAAGATAAATTATTACTTTTTATCTGGATTACCTCATGTCCCAAATCCCGATACATATTGTATCGTACGGTAGCTCTTGTATAGTGATACGTATCGTATCTTGGCATGATTTGCTATATCCAGCACTGTTATGATGAACTGCACAAAGAATGACTTATTGATGAGAATGATACAAAAAATAAAATTGCCAAATTTTTTTGATGTAATATGGACGTTATGAAATTGTTTCAAAGAAGTTTTTAAGTTTAATTATTGGTAACATTTTAAAACTTTGTTCTCAACATAATAAGACTTAAAAACATTTTCCTATTTCTTCAGACGTTTTTGTTTACCGTACAAGTTGTTTTGAATACATGTAGTTCAAAGTTTTGATCTAAGCTTTTGTCAGATTGATTGTTATGAAATTCTATTGTTTGTTATTATGTTAAGATTCTGGTTTTTTATTTTATCCTATATTGTTCAATTTCAATCAATATGTCCTCCAGTTTGTAAATGTTTTTAAGGATAGTCTGAAGCCATCAAAATTATCATACAACTAGAATTTATTTTCATCTGTCAAAAATAGGCTAATTGATTAAAAATCATCAACGGTACGGCAAACTGTAAAAATAACTTTAGTTGATTATTTTCTTATCATAATGCAATATTAAAAAAAAATCTACTTGCACAACCCTGCATCATGAAGCTATTTTAGAAGATTGGTTTCGAAAGAAAATAAGTTCATAATTCATTTTTCTTTCATTTAGATACAAATTTTTTGTTTCAAACTTTTCCATGTGTAAAAGTCATGTTAAACTGTTAAGAGTTTTGTTTCTTTATCTTAATGTTGAATTGATTTCTATTTAAGTACTTGTTTTACATTATTAAAACTTTTACATGTTTTATATGGTCTTATCATTATACCCACTTACGATCTTCACAATCTTTCTTGTATCACAGAATGCAGCGATTTAATTGAATTGTATGACAGGGAATACAGCCAATCATAGTCCTGAACAGAAAGACTGTAAACATTATGACTTATTATTTATAGATTTTCTGTCATGAACTCTAATTGGCATACAATCAAACCAAATTACTGCATTTACGAGCTATCAAGATTCAAGAAAAGTGGTAAAGATTTCTGAAATTTAGAGCATTCCTTATACTTTTTTGATAGTGAAACTGGATGAAAGTGGAATATATATTACAAGGAGACATCAAACTTATCTCAGCATTTTCCTGTCCTGCAATGAGTCCAGCTGTCTAATCCTTTCATATTTTTTTTCAATTTTATTTATCTGTTGCAAGAAGCAAAAAAATCTGTTAAGTAAAAAAAAAAGAGAAAGAACAATAACTCTCATTAGAAAAATGCTTCAAAATTAGAAATTGCTTTTGCCGTATTACTCTGCATTGCTGAAATATATTACTATAATCTGTGTACTAAAAGTACTAATATAGTCTAGCCTGACCATAATACTTGGTTGGTATTCAGTATTGAATGTAAACCGAGATCTCTTTTAATATATTCAAAACATGAAATCCTATCTCCTGGGACAGAAATAATCATGAAATGGTATGCATGGACTCTACTAGTGTTCTAGTCCTAAGAGGTTATTATTTTAATAGAAAGATTATGTTAGATAATACCCAGACATTATCTTATATTGTGTTTTCTACAGTTATAATGTTATTTCTATGGATTATGATATCCAAGGATTAAGAATTATGAGATGAGTTTGAACAGGGTCCAATATGTCAATACAGATAAGTGAAATGGTATGGTATACATACGAATTTTAGCTACAAGAAGTATAGGTTATTTTAATGGTTTTAAGAAAAATGGAAAGATATATGAAAATGATGAGGAACGATTGCAACAATCAAGCATAAAAAAATGCAATTTGTGTGTGGAAAAATTTCTTCGTTATTCAAGGGAATTATACAAAACACTCTTTATTGGCTCAACAACAAGATTGTAGATCCCCATTTCATATCACCTGTCATTTCTATAAATTACCAAACATTTCATGTGACTCATTTTCTTCAATCATTATATTAAAATTGGCTGCTAAATAGAATTGACTGAAGGGTTAAAAATGGTACCAGAAAGGATTTGTGCTATCTGATCTAAAGCAGATCCCATTATTGTTAGATTCCATATTTCTTTGTCCAGTTGTTCTAACACAGAGTAAAAAAGAAGGTATGATTTGCATGGTTATATGATGTTATTTGTGAATGAGGCAGACCTGAGTTGAATATTAATGAAGTAATGATATTATCAAGTAGAGTGTTGTATGGCCATGAATATAAACGTGAGGAGAAATCTAATCAGGATTTTATACTGGGACAGCCATGGGGTAGATGATTTGCCTCATGCCAACCTTAATTCTATTCTATAACTGTGGTTGTCAAAACTACATACAGCTATTCAAAGCTGGTTCTATTGTTTTTCCCATTGTCAAGCACCAACTTGGATGCCACTTTGCTTCAGGATTTCACCACATTAGCATTTGGCTATAATCTCTATAGCTAGTTACATCTTTTATCCATTGTTAAGTGGTTATCTGGGAATTTATCAAATCCTATTATTATCCTTCATTATAGCTAAGGCTGCTAATAATATTTAAGGGCCTTCGATATAGCTATGTCAAAAAAAGCTTAGTTTTGGTGGCATTGCAAATTCCACAGACGTCTGACCAGTGGCATTTCTAGTTTCTAGTTCCATTGATTTGTAAGGGGGCTGTGACGATTTTTTATAAAATAATTAAAAATTTGAAAGTTGAGATGAGATAGTGTCAAAGTAATGAAGATAAACAAGTTATAAAATAGACATTATTATTTGAAACTATCTGCACAGGTTTCAACATTTTTCGGGTCTTATATTATCATATTTTTTTTCCTATAGTCAGGAAAGAAATCTTCTCCTTCCTGGAACAACTAATGCCTATCTGGTACATAGTTTGTCAAATTGGCTGCCTTTTTTTAGAGTCTTTAGCTATTATATTTATTTAAATATATATTTTATAGACCTGATCATCCACAAATCTGTATTTAGCAATTTTCTTGAACAGGTCAAATCCCAGCTTAAACTTTTGTCCATTTAATATGTTTTTATAACAAATGATCAGGCTTAGTGAAAATCTAAATATAATCCGTTGTTTCCTTATAAGGAATTCCTTGGCTCTTCAGAGAAAATTTTAAAACTCATTAATATAAAAATGAAAGTTTAAGGAGATATTGATTTAATAATGATAAATACTATAGATGGCTGGAAAATAGAGATAAAAGCCTTGGTCATCACTGACCCAGATTAGATTATTGATTAATGTGACATTTGATATCACTTACTCTGAAAATGGTTGTAGGTAGTTAAGATCTAGCTAATTCAAATGATACAGAAATGATCAGTGTAGACTAAGATGGCTGTGGCAAACATATTTTAATTGCAAATTAGCTTTGTTTTCTCTGGCAAACTGGCATATTATATATAATATATAAGTGCAGGAACTGCTGGTATGATAGCACTATTCTGTCAAACACCATTTCCAGATATAATAGACCTTCTCTCAAGGGGAAATGAGTTCAGATTTCACAGGTGGTTGAATAACTGTCTGATTGACAAAAAAATAAATCAACAGCCCTGGACTGAATTCTAATGATTGGTGCTCTTTAAATGTCTAGTTGGAGTTTAGTCTTTAATGATAATTTTTATAAATATCTTTTTTTCAAGTTTTCTTTGTATATTCAAGGTTGAAAGTTGGATCCATTTCTGAATCAGCAGATCAGCAGAATAATCCTACCACTTTTAGATTTCTAATTTTGGAGGAATCTTTTAAGTGCACATTTGATTTATCAGGACCTTGATGTTGGCAATGTGGCTAAACTATCCAACCCTAAATGTAGATGTATGTTGAATTGATTTGATAAAATAAGACTATTGATTGAAACTATTGATCAATTTAACAGTAAATTATTCGAAACATGTTTCCAACTAGACTTGAATTCAAATTACCAATTATTTTTAAATAACTAGGATTTTTTATCAGTATTTATAAAGGGCTGTTTATTGTCTATATGTTATGAGTCATACCTGTTATAATTATTATCTATTAGTATGTTGATACCAGTGTTTAATCTTCTCACATAATTACCCCCCTGATACTCTATTGTTCATTAATGTGGCCTTGAAATTAATGTTTCGACCAGATGACATCTCATATCCTCATCCTTTAGTGCCTAGACATCTTGTTTTTTCTTCAGGAAGTATATGATTGTCATATGTAGTAGCATTTCAATGAATCTGAGGAGGAAGGGCCTGTGTAGGTGCCACAGAATTGTCAAGGGTTTTGGTTGGGGGCATTTAAGATTTCAATGATTAGTAATTTAAAACTGGGAAATAGGGTGGTAATAGAGCCAGGCAAACCTCATCTCTCATACACCTGTCACTGTTGTTCATTTGTCAGTGTTTGCCAGTAATGTCTGACATAAGTTTCAAATTGGAAGACTGGGATATTGACCATTGAAACATTTTCTATCAAATGGTTAAGGTTTTTTTCACATGCAAGATGAAAGTTGGAAAGAATCAGGATGTAAATGTCTGACAAGCACTAGCATTTTTTGAGAAACTTTCAAATTTTTAAAGAAGGCATGGTTAAAATTAGGCATTTCTTTTTTTTTGACAAAATAACCACACAGCTTTTATTTTCATCCAATGCTGAATTACTCTTATCTATACATAGTTTAAATATCTAAATAAATAATATGAATTCTGTAAATTTTCATTCAGATATACATTAGTAAAGAATTCATCTTCTAATAGTTATTTTGGTTCACGCTGTATTTCTATTAAAGCTTGTTCTAATCCATATAACAATACACAAGAAGCTTATCATGCACACAATATAAATATAATGTCTATTTCAATTCTCTAATGTATTCTCAATTCATGTCTGTAAATTCTGAATGAATTCCAAATATTACAAGAAGTAATCAAAAAACAGAGCGATCATCACCACAAATAATAGAAAAACAGAAACAAATACAGTCAAATCAAATTTAGATTGATAACTATCACATAATGACATGTAATGTATTAATTAAAATTTTACACGCATGGCAAAATATCTATCAGGAATGGACTTGAGTTGCCTGAGCTTCAATGGGCTGTACTGTATGCAGGATGATATTTGAAAGACATTCACATAAAACATGTATGCTATACACATCATTTATACCACATCCTATTTTGAATTTATTTTTCTAGATTTAATGACAAAAGGATGGCAGAAAAGTGATATTAAAGTGTTATAATAGATTTATTGCTATGGTGTAAATGTAGTATCTGATATTTATAGGTATGACTATGATGACAGAGAAAAACCAGTAGACCAAGCTTCCAGACTCTTAGATAGAATGGTAGATTTAAAACATCAAGTCGCTAATGTAAGGGTTTATTATGTGCTATCATAAATAAGAATTCTTTTATATCATTTTATATCATACCTCAATTGAAATGCAATTTGTCACATGGAAAATAACGTGAGCTTGACATTTATTACTGGTTTTTTATTTTATTATTCTCTGAGAGTGTGTGCATATTAAAATGTAAGGAAACAAAAACAAAATGTAAAAAGCTTGCGACAATATTTATGAGTAGAAAAATTTAATTCTATTTTTTAGGGAAGATTTGATGATCAGTTTAATTATGGTCCTTATCCATTGGATCCTTATTTAGTAAGTATAATAATTAATCGAAATATTCTAGAATTCTGTTAAGATGTGTGATAAATAATACAAAGTTTAAGCCATCTCTCTCATGATTTTTCTGTCATTTTGCATTGGACAATTTTTCATGGAACAAATGAAACAAGTTTTACTTTACCAAGTGAATATGACTCTGAATATACATGTGAACTGCATGTAGACAGAATTTCAAGATGGGTGTAATTAAAACTCAATAATGGAAACTGGACTGGTTCAGCCATGAATCTAGTGTCACTTTACAATTTTCAGAGGAAACACAGTTATTGTCATAAATGCACATTAGTCTAATGAGAATTCTAATGATTGATTTTTTGCTGTAAAATGATTGAACAATCAGATGTCTAAAACTTAAATAGGTATGAAAATTTAATGCTACCAATGTTTTGAAAAAAGATCATTAAGGTTGTCTTTGCATTCATTCTTAATATTTCCTCTTTTACAGAAAACAGGAAGAGGAAGTGATGTAAAAACTCAACCATTACAAGTTAATGCCCCTGTTTATAATAATTATAGTGATGTCAAGAAAGTGTTAAATACAGTTAATAAGAAAATCTCTCAATTAGAATCTAATCTTAAACATGTGACACGATTTCAAAATGAAGATGAACTATCTTGTCTGGCTAAAGTTTTACAGGGTGAAAGGTAAGAAGTAAGTTTTTGTTTTTAACCAAATGCTGAAGTTAAGCTCCAAAAGAAGATCAAAAACTTTGAAATTGTGCCTCCGTAAAAGACTTGTTTAAAGTGAGAAGCTAAACACTAATGAAAAGTATTATTCAAAATAAGAACAAATTGACAAAAAGTAGCCTATCTGCAAAGATTTTGGAATCCAAAAAGCTTATTCATATTATTTAATTGATATATTTTTCTTCACAATATAAATTCATGATCTTAATATAAGAATAATGTTTATTTTATTACAGTGAAGATTTAGAACAGAATAAGATAAAATCTATGGTAGACAGATTAATAAAATCTAAAAGAAAAATAATTGAGGTAAAGAATCTATTGATGTATATTCCTGACTATAAAACATATTCTCATATCCACCCATCTAAGTCCTTACTGACCTTTATCCTAAATATTATCTTTAGAGTTTTATAGACTACTAACATACATCAATCAATCTCATCATGCAGATTTTGATGTTTCATTGCACGTTTTTATGGTGGACTCTATTTGCTATATATGATCTAAGGAAATTGCTATGCTACGCTAGTTCTGAGGCATGCTTTTGTTTTATAAAATATTTAACCATCATCAATGCAGATATTCATTATTAGTCAATGTCTTGTATGACAGTACAATTTTTAATGTATTCTGATTAGTAAAGGTAGGTTATAAAAATTTCATCCAATCATGCATGGTGAGTGTAGATACCCTTGAAAAAAATACATAAAACAAAACATCTTGATCTATATTCAGATCACACACAATTTTAGTATTCTCTGGATCTAACTCAAAATTCTTATGCTTTTATGCGCCATTATTGGGTGTTGATTTGAGTCTTGAATATATGTAAAGAAGTACTGGAATTGGACGAAAATCGCATAATCCTTCAAAATATTTCAAACTAGGAAGTTCTTTTCCTATTTCTATAGATGTCTTTTCTATATATATATATAATTCTGGACACACATTGATTTGAAGGCTTACATTTCAAAGGTGAGCTGTGAACACTATTGCTGATTGGCTTAGCTAAAAAATTCATGTTTCTGAGACTAAGATACGATTGGAAAAAAAATGGTGCACCTTTCCATTTACAAAGAACAGGACCTACTACTAGTCAGTTTGACTTCATGATAATAAGTTGACTCTTTTAGGATGATGTTCAGAGAGAATTATTAAATGCAGAGTTAAAGAAACAGGAATTGATAGAGGCCAGTAAAAAACCAAGTACTAAAGATTTAAAGAAAGTTGCTGTTGGTGGTAGAGTCACTCAGACGTATCAAAGAAAACGTGAAACTACTAGATTTACACAAGATAAAGACAGATCTGTTACTTCTAGACCTTATGGAAAGGTAGGCAATTAATATAGTTCTTGCCTTTATCTCTCACAATAGACACTTGCTTTTTGTACCTTTTACTCTATAATAGCAAATATAGTGCTCATACCCTTGAGGAAATATGGAAAAATCAACAAGGGGATTAAGATTGCATAATTCTCATTGCTTCCTGGTGAAAGTTTTAAAGTTTGCCACCAGGTAAGGAAGCTTTGTTTGCTGCAAGCACCTGTTCATTATTCAAATTCTACTATGTTTAATTTTGACCTGCAAGCACCTGTTCATTATTCAAATACTTAGTTCTGACCTGGTTCAGTATATCTATGGGTGCCTTCACTCTACCATGTGCAATTTAACATTTCAGAACTTGTTGCCTTCCAATATTGCTAGAGTTGGTAGGAGTGAACCTATTACAAGTAAAGTTGATAGTAAAACTGTTTATAAAACATTGATCACACAAACTAAACAATCTTCTAAAACACAACAACGTCAACAACCTGGCTACAGACAGCAACAGACAGGTTTGTTTGTCACTCTATTTTAAACTTTACTCAATTATTTTTTGGATTCTGTTGAATTTTGTGTGGTTGGGGGTTTAAAAAAACATGGAGGGGGGATATTTCAACTTACTGTACTCCTATCAGTGAGGAAGGTCGGAGGGGCTGGCAAGGAAAGGGTCTAGTCATTCCGATAGAACAATAAACCGAGACCTTGTAATCTACAGGCTGTGTATGCTAGATCCCTCCACAGTTGAAAACCCAAAAACAGTTGGCTAATGCCGCTATCCTGACAGAATTTCCCTTTCTGGAGTTGCCTGACTTTATGTGCACTATAAGGTGCAGAAAAGACATAAAACTCTTAAACAATTCATTTAGTTTTGGTCTGTGTTTGTTAATTTCAGTGCCAGTAATAAATAACATCATGCCAATGGCAGTAGCATTATGTGAACCAAGATATCTACCAGGTAGAGCAGCTGGTGTATTGTCCTGTGAACCAATGGCTTGTAGTTCACCTTCCTCACAAACTCACCCTACTTCACTACCTAATCTTTCTAATATACAAGATACTACCTTTATTGACCAGGTTTGTCTGAATTTGTCTAATTTTTTAATACAAGTAAAGGTACTCAGAATTTATTACTCAGACAATTTTTTATGTGAAAGGCAAGAGATTTTGATACTAACTAGGTTTTTTTTTACGGGTTGTTTTAGAAACATTCCAAGAGATAATCAAATTTTGACTTAACGCTTTTTATTATTCAAATGACATGAAATAGTGGTTGTATATAATCATCAGGGTTTTGAATGTATTTCAGATCAATTCACCATCATTATCACCAAGATCTCCTTCACCCAAATCACCAGGTTACCATTCACCAACTCACAGTATGGTAGATAATTACAGTGATGTGGAAGGAACAGGAATTATTCTACCAGGATATCAACATGAAGAATATAGACAACCACCTGAACCCAGTAGAGTAGTTTTTAAACCTCCTAACCTAGAGAGCTATGATCAGAATCCTACGTCTGATGTTATAGCTAATGATATACATAGACAGAATTTACTTCAAGAAAAGGCATCACAGTGGTAAGATAAAATTTTGTTTTAGTAGTCACAGTCCTTTTTCACAATACTTAACTTATAATATAAGTCTTATATACATTCCAGATTTTAAGAAATGCAGTAATGTGATTGGATAACAAATCTTAATTTTAAATTGAACGTCCAATCAGACGACCAAAACAATAAAATCATCTAAAAACTAAAATCTAAACCAAGTGATTGTGAAATAGGCCCCAGATTCTGCTCAAGCATTGGAATTCGAGTCTTTCAATATTTGACCTCTCTATTGATGATGTATCTGATCTATACACAGTGCAGATCAAAGTAAAAATGATAATGAGTATTAAAATGATATAAGCAAATATAGTATTGAAGATTAAGTTATTAATTTTTAATACCTTATGGCAAATACACTACTTATCTCCCCTTGCTTGTTATATATCAAGGCAAATACAGGTATTTAGTACAACCAGGGCACTTTCAAACGACATTTTGAACTTAGTTGTCAATAGTTGGTCTTGGTTGTTTTTAACATTGGTCTGAGATATATCAAAAGTTGTCTCTTAGTGGTCCTAGTTATGTTTGGTCTGAGTTGTCTTCCATGTTTTTCTGTATAATAATAATGATGATATTACAGGTTAGAAAGTGAGCTCATGGCTCAGGTTTTATCTCAAGTAAATCGTGGAGGTGAAGAGAAGATACACCATGAATCTTCCTGGGGTACAGATAACCAGTATAACTATAGAGATCTGGTAAATAAACAGCCTGGAGTTGATCAGGACTCACAGTTATCAGATAATAGTGCTACTCAATCAGAGTCTGTTGAAGGTAAAGTACAAATGTGTTTGAGATTTTTTGCCGATTTTCTTTTAATGGTCTCATGGTTGGTAATCAGAGGAGCTAGCAATTGTGTGTCTCAATCCTGTCAACATTTTAATTGCTCACTGCTTGTATTATTTATAGATGATATGGATATCGGCTATTGATATTTTCATTCATTCCATTATTTCTTCTGGCATTTCACAATTTATTCCTCATTTATTTCTTCAATATGGTTTCTATCCATCTATCCTTCTCCCAATATCACTCTAAGGCTTTTAATGTTTGACTACAAATTTCATTACAGAAGATTTACAGGAGAAAATCCAGAAGATATTTATTAGTGTTGGTCAACCAGTTAATAGTAAAATAGTATCAACATTGGTACAGGAAGCCTTAATTGATAGAATACGTACGTTACTAGGTGAATCACAACCTAGCACCTCTGGTACCAGACCTGATAAAAAGACCACAGACTTGGAGGAAGTTAAAGATGATTATGATGATGATTTTGAAAGTGTAGATTCACCTGAGGTAGACAAATATTTTCTTTATCCTGGCAGAAAATTTGTAGGTTTTGTGGTAATTTCTTATGTTTCTGAAGGTCTGTCTTTTGTGGGGCAAAAATTATATATTGATGTTTATATTGTTTTATATTTGTAAGAAAAACAGAAAAATAAGCATTCATAATGTTATATTTCCGGGTCATGTATCCTCAAAGCAAGGATGTCCATTGCCTTCTAACTTCTAACACTGTTTTAGGATATCCAGGGCTAAGATGGTTTTGAGAATATGTGTCCTGGTTACTTACCGGTATACTTGTACCAAGTCCTAATTTGGTCTGTTGTATGATTAAACTATTTTTCTTACCTATTCTCTAATGAGTTTTAAGATTCTGGCCATCCTACAGACAATATTTGTTGATTGTATATGGACTATAAGACATTGTAAATTAGAACTTGTTTTTATTTTACAGCCTTCAATGAAACACTTACCTACCCCTGATTTGACACCGATGTCCAGTCTGACTGATTCTCCAGTAAGACAGGATTCACCCCCACCACCTGCCACTAAACGGTCTCCTGTTCGATCACCTAAACCTAGAGTACCTAGGCGACAGAAAGTAGAGGAGATTGATGATTCTGATGTTTATAATTCTATGATGATGACTCGAGAGCCTGAACCAAAACAATCTCCACAGCAACCAGTCACTGTACCCTCTCCCGATAGTGACAGTGATCCTTCCACTTCATATGATATATCTCAAGAACTACGTAGACTAGCTGGTATGTATAGATCAGTTATCTAACCAACACATTACATATTTCTACATTTCTACTGTGTTTAACTGAAGCAGATGCACCTCATGTTTTAGGATGAGGTGATAATATTCATAATGCCACGTCATTCAAAGAACAAGTTCAATGATAAAGCATTAGGAGGAAATTGTATTTGAAGAAATATCAACATAATGAGGAAAATAAGATTGAAACAAAGTCTTTTTTACATATCTCATATTTTATATATGTAGGCTTGAATGTACAAAAATGTGTTAAGATTAATCGCTAATGTCTTTTTTATCTGAATATGTTTTGTTTCCAGTGAAACCAGAAGAAAAAGCAGACTTTATCATTCAATCCGTCCATGATGTAGAAACACCTGTACCCACTCCCCCTCCTAGATCACCAACACCAGTACAGACTCTGCCTCAGTTTATAGCCTCCCCACCCCCTCTTGTTTCCGTCCAACATCCTACATCAGTTCACCATTCCATAACTGAAGAACCCAGTTTCCATGATGTCAGTAGAAGACAAGATCCTGATGCTACAGGAACATCTTTTAATTTTAACCGAACTGGAATTTCTGTAGATAATATTCAGGATGTTAGAAAATCTACTACTATAGTGTAAGTATTCAAACCACAATCTAGTAAAGTGGAGGACATTGAACTATCTGATAATCTGGGGCCTTATACCAGAAATTTTAAGAAATAGAGTAATCTAAACGAAAGAATTAATTGCAAAAAATCTCTGAAAGCTTTTAAGTTGATGTTATTCTGATAGATTAGGATGTTGGAAATATTTGCAGCAAGAAGTTGTTAATGCTTTAATCAAACTTGTATGCGCTCTTTTATGCATTTAAAATATTAAATATCTGATTCATTTTAGGAGAATGTCTTCAACTACTGTCAGAGATAGTATAGAAGTACCTCAGCCTCAAGAATCACCTAGACCTGTCCCACAACCTACAGTCATACATGTTGGATCACCACAAGCTATCAGTCCTGTACGAGATCCTAGTTTAATACCCAGTCCAGACCAGCGTAGTTCTCCCTCCACTAGTATAACTGATACTATTAATGAATGTATATCAGAAGGACAATGGTTATTAAATAGAAGTGAAGGACAAGTTGCTGAGATTCCTATAGATCCAGGTAACTCTTGCTATTTTCATTGTGTATCTACTTTAGCATTACTACTTGCAATAGGTTATGTCTGATGAGTTGGAACATATTTCCAGTTTGAGCTTATTATTTTTAGGATCCTTGGATGGTTTGTTATCAAAACTTAATGAATGAAGTTAGAACTGAAAGTTCCATTTAATTTAATTTTCCACCATGACCTAGTATATAGAAACTTATATGGCTTGTTGTAGCTGAGTCATTAGCTTTCCAGGCTTGTTTAAATTGATTCTACTTTACTCCTTCATTCTATATATTTTTGTGTAATGTGTATAATTTCAGTTGTGATAGAGAATATTAAGTATAATCGTATTGATATTAGTACAGCTAGTACCTTGAGAGATACAGAAGATCTAGATTTAGTAAGTAATTGCTAGTGTCAAGAGCACCATCTTCATAATATCTATCAATACTTATTGAAATAATTAAATCTACCAAATTGTTTGCTTTTAAACCTTTTTACTATAATTCTTACTAAATTTATTGTTTGTGACAAGCATAGACTGTTATTATTTTGAACATGCCTTTAGTAAATCAGTATGCTTATTATAAGTGTCAGGAAGACAGTTTGAAATTTCTTTTTCTTTATAATTTATGCAGCCTTTGGATAATAATAAGGTTAGTTCATTTTACTATGCATGGTCTTGTATTTCCTTTAGAACAGTCTATCTGTTAATCTTTAAAAGTTTTATATTGTATTTTTGTCATTTAGAAACAGTGAACTGATAACTGTTAAAAAGATTAGGGTTGTAATTGTTTGATTTTGAGGGTTTCATATGTTCTTTAGACATGATTCCAAACTGCTATTCAAAACTTAATAGAATCAAATTCATTTTCAGGATGATTTGGACAATCTGAAAAGTGAAGGTGAATTCATCCATTATTCCTCAGTACCAGTTCAACAGGACATCAACAGTCTGTTACAGAGACAACAGGAATCATATACAAGAGATCACGTCGATGGACCAGGTTACCCTACTGAATTGAATGTCACAGAGAGTATGGGAGAACTTAGTCTTGGACAGATACAGTCTTCTAGAGTAGGGCAACCACGATCTTTTCAGACCAATGGGAATACTTATGCATCTGATGTAACGGAAGAAGAAGACAGTGGTCCCAGTAAAGTTATTCGAGTAGGGGAGAGTCTACCTGGTACAAGTCAGAGAAACTTTAGTCGTCCACCTCTCAGTCAAACTGGACCTCAATTCAGCACTTATACAAGACAATCTAGAGATGGTAAATTATGATTTCCTTTGTTGCCTGTGCCTTTAAGGTGGCTAATAATTATGTGTCAATGGTAAACATAAAATAATTGTCTTTGTCACCAGGGGCCATATTCTGGAAAAATTAACTTACCCAGTACATAAAATTCAGATCTTAGGAAATAGTGTTATATTAGTGTTTCATAGAACAAAATTTAGAACAAAAAGAAAAAAGGGGGGGTGTCCAAGTTTAGATTTTGTCATTGATCCCGTGTGGTTGGAAGCTTTTAAGTCTAATTAGAATTAAAAACAGACCCCGTTAACCCCGGTAAGAAATCAATCCCGTTAACCCCGGTAGAACTAACCCCGTTAAACCCCGGTAAAACAAACCCCGTTAACTAACTCCGGTTTTTAGACTCCGTTAAAACTAACCACGTTAAAAAGCAACCCCGTTAAACCCCGTTAGACACCCCGCTATCTGAACAGTATAAATAGAACCCCGAAGAGTGAGTTTTATTAATCAGTCTGAAGAGTACACCCAAGTACGAAACTAGTCACTGCTAACTAGGGATAACTGGTCGCCTCGCCCATTCTTATCTCGTATAGAACAAAATTTAGAGTCAATTTTGGTGATTGACCTATCAGATGAAGATAATGCTAAAATCCTTCCAAATTAAGTTTTTGTGAATAGGAAACTTGATTACCGGTATAAGGGATGTGATATTTTGTCAAATTTTCACACAAATTACTTGTACATGTATACATAAAGGATTCAGGTTTGTAGAAGTCTGTAAAAAAAATCTTTACAAAGGCTCCAGAAAAAATATGTAAGAAGCCAAAAAAGAGATAAAGAAAGCCAGGTGTGAAATTCAAGCTGTTTATTTCTTTTTATTCAGAAAATGGAACATCCCGAGATTCTACTATGAATTTAGAAGATTTAGACATCAGTAAAAGAAAATTACCACCATCTCGAAAATGGAATGATAAACCTAAAACTACAAGTAAGATAGCTTTTAGTTTTAAAGTGATATAGTTGTCTTAGTATTATGTTTTACCAGTTTCAATCCTTATTAGTACTTGGTTTATTTATTGATAATTCTCAATATTCACTATCCATAAAACACATTTCATAATTTAAAATACACTGTCTTGTTCTGCAACAATAAATCAAAAATGCATCTATGAAGTAAAAACAGTGTACAGGTTAACCTGTCCCTTGGTCCATTATCCCATAAGCCTTTGATTCATTTGATTTGTTGATTCAGTCCAGTCTGATTCATTGTAACAAAATATTGTGCATCTTTAATTGCTTTCACTTTGACCTTGTGTAACATCATCACTTGTTATTAAAAGTAATAGAATTGGCTATTATTCTTGTCTGGCAAGAATATTTACCCATTGAATCAGGGATGGAGAATGTTAGCTCACAAATCCCAAGGTAGTTTTCTACATTTATGTCAATAAGAGAACCTTCTTTGATATAAATAAGGCCAGAAAAACATCAATACTGAAAAATTAATGCCTTCTCCTCTGTCGTTGTTGTCATTTTGATGAATAAGATCATTTTGAGTTAAAACGATAAACCACAAGATTTTAATATGATTTTTAGAAACTTTGTCTTCTTAACATTAAAAATAGTCTAAAATCAATAGGCCTACATAACAGTATCAAGTTATTAATTGGAAAACAGTCTAAAACACACATAGACAAAAGTAATAAAAATTTATAATGGAACTCTTAAAATAGATTCAGTGAGACAAAGCAAGTTGTCAAAGTTAACTAAAAGTTAATTAAGATCAGGTATTGGACTGTGTGTAGAGCTTTGATAAGAAATTACAGGTAAAATATAATTAAAATACTGTGACATAACTCAACTTGATACACTGACTGTGTCTTATGATCTATACTAGCTGGTGTTAGGGTGTATTGAGACAAGTCTCAATGAAAGCACTGGCCTAGGTCACAGAGCAATAGATAAGTCTATTGATTATGTGAAAATTAGTTAGCTGGTGTTATGGAGTTTATTTTATATCATACATATAGTTATAAATTAATGAATACATAGGTAAAATTTAATGTTTTTATATCATAGGTATAAATTGAACCACTTCACATCATACTTGGCTATAAATTGAAGCATTTCAACCCATACATAGATATAACTTGAAGCATTTTATATCAAGCATAGGTATGAATGGAAGCATTTGATATCATACAAATGTTTATATTGAAACATTTAATATCTAACTTAGGTATAAATTGATTTTTTTTATCATACATATATATATATATATTAAAGCATTTTATACTGTACATACATAGGTATAAATTGAAGCATTTTGTATCATACATAGGTATAAATTAAAGCATTTTGTATCATACATCGGTATAAATTGAAGCATATCATACATTCATTGATATAAGTTGAAGCATATCATACATTCATTGGTATAAATTGAAGCATTTTGTATCATACATTGGTATAAATTGAATCATTTTGTATCATACATTGGTATTAATCGAAGCATATCATACATATATGAATTGAAGCATTTTGATATCATACATAAGTATGATTTGAAGCATCTTATGTTTGGTGGAGAATTTGGAGGGTGTTGTACAATTGTATAAGAATTATAGACAGTGTATTAATGGGGTTTAAAACTAGAATATTTTTTTTTATCAGTTTTAACCATTCACCATAAACCTCTGTGTAAACCTCTTTTACTTTTCTCATACTATGATTAAATAACTATTTGATTCAAGACTTCAATTTGAGTGGGTCATCTCTAAGAGCAGCTGATATAAAATATTTCTCTACAAGCAAAAATCTAAAGTTATCAAATTGATGCTTCCAGGTGATTAGTGTTATACACTACATTAAATTACAACAGATTTTTATGTTGAAATTTCCAGGTTATTATCCTTTAAGTCAATATCATGGCAGGAAATAACAGTGATATTGATTTTTACTAGGTTTATATATAATCTCCACATGGTGTCCATTTATCAATTATTATATAAACATTATACAATTATACCTTTATTAGTTTTCTCACTTCATTGTTATATCAACACAATGGTAGAAAACAATTTATACAATGAAATGGGATGTTAATGGAAATCAGCAAATATTAGGTTTATGTTTTAAAGTAGGATTGCCTGCAATCATATAAATCAATTATATTTTCATGGTGGTAAAAACTACTGTAACAAGCATTGAAAAAATATCTTTTGATTCAATGCCACCATTTGAAAATAAACCAAGAAAAGTTCTCGAACGAAAATAAAGATGGTGGCATATGTATTATGCAGATTTAGATTAGGAGGTCCAGATGATATTCCCAGAATATTTTTCAGAATCAGCAAAATCTTTACATTTCATTTATTTCAGTGACTCATTTTTTTTTTTTATAAAACACACATATTGTAAATTTACAATGTGGTCATAAATCATAATTCTTATGATTTTTAGGAAATCAGGGTCCAGATGTATGATATAAACTGATTAATAATTACTACAGTAATAACATTATCATCTATTATATCCCATTGTTTTAATCAGTGTAATATTATTAGATTACTGTTAATACGGCCTATAGTCCAGCTAAAGTAGATAAATATAAATCTATACCAGTATATTAACAATTGAAACATCATTATCATTAATGATATCCCATTGTTTATTAACAATATTGATATCCTCCACCTGAATACTTGCCAATATGGAATCAATATCTCATTAACCATATTGAGAAATACATGTATAATATTCATGTATACTGTTTATGACACTGATTTGCTTAAACCACCTGCTCTTCTGTTACTTTTTATACGCCCACATGAATATGTGGTCGTATATTGTCATCGCCCCTGTCCGTCGGTCTCCGTCAACATTTCTTGTGAGCACTATAGAGACTACAGTTTTTATCTGATTTTGATAAAACTTGGTGTGATGCTTTAGATTGATAAGATCTTGGTCAAGTTTTTTGAGATATTGCCCTTGACTTAGAACGCCTTGAAATTTGTTAAAAATTGTTCGTGAGCAGGATTGAAGCTACAGTTTTCATCAGATTCTGATGAAACTTGGTGTGATCATTGGAATTGATAAGATCTCGCACGAGTTCTAACTTGACGCATTTTCGATGAACGGTTTTTGAGTTATTGCCCATGACTTTGTTAAAACACGTCAAAATTTGTTAAAAATAGTTAGTTATTGCCCTTGACTTTGTTAAAAAGTGTTGAAATTTGTTAAAAATAGTTCGTGAGCAGGATTGAAGCTACAGTTTTCAACCGATTCTGATGAAACTTGTTGTGATCATTGTAATTGATAAGATCTCGGACAAGTTCTAACATGACGCATTTTCGATGAACGGTTTTTGAATTATTGCCCTTGACTTTGTTAGAACACGTCGAAATTTGTTAAAAATAGTTCGTGAGCAGGATTGAAGCTACAGTTTTCAACCGATTCTGATGAAACTTGGTGTGATCATTGGAATTGATAAGATCTCGGACAAGTTCTAACTTGACACATTTTCGATGAACGGTTTTTGAGTTATTACCCTTGACTTTGTAAAAACACGTCAAAATTAGTTAAAAATAGTTTGTGAGCAGGATTGAAGCTACAGTTTTCATCAGATTCTGATGAAACTTGGTGTGATCATTGGAATTGATAAGATCTCGCACGAGTTCTAACTTGACGCATTTTCGATGAACGGTTTTTGAGTTATTGCCCATGACTTTGTTAAAACACGTCAAAATTTGTTAAAAATAGTTCGTGAGCAGGATTGAAGCTACAGTTTTCAACCGATTCTGATGAAACTTGGTGTGATCATTGGAATTGATAAGATCTCGGACAAGTTCTAACTTGACGCATTTTCGATGAACAGTTTTTGAGTTATTGCCCATGACTTTGTTAAAACACGTCAAAATTTGTTAAAAATAGTTTGTGAGCAGGATTGAAGCTACAGTTTTCAACCGATTCTGATGAAACTTGGTGTGATCATTGGAATTGATAAGATCTCGCACAAGTTTTAACTTGACACATTTTCGATGAACGGTTTTTGAGTTATTGCCCTTGACTTTGTAAAAACACGTAAAAATTTGTTAAAAATAGTTTGTGAGCAGGATTGAAGCTACAGTTTTTAACCGATTCTGATGAAACTGGGTGTGATCATTGGAATTGATAAGATTTCGGACAAGTTCTAACTTGACGCATTTTCGATGAACGGTTTTTGAGTTATTGCCCTTGACTTTGTTAAAAAGTGTTGAAATTTGTTAAAAATAGTTCGTGAGCAGGATTGAAGCTACAGTTTTCAACCGATTCTGATGAAACTTGGTGTGATCATTGGAATTGATAAGATCTCAGACAAGTTCTAATTTGACGCATTTTTAAATAACAGTTTTTGAGTTATTGCCCTTGACTTTGTAAAAACGCGTCGAAATTTGTTAAAAATAGTTCGGAGCAGGATTGAAGCTACAGTTTTCAACCGATTCTGATGAAACTTGGTGTGATCATTGGAATTGATAAGATCTCGGACAAGTTCTAACTTGACGTATTTTCGATGAACGGTTTTTGAGTTATTGCCCTTGACTTTGTTAAAATGCGTCGAAATTTGCTAAAAATAGTTTGTGAGCAGGATTGACGCTACAGTTTTCAACCGATTCTGATGAAACTTGTGGTGATCATTGGAGTTTATAAGATCTCGGACAAGTTCTAACTTGATGCAATTTTGATGAACGGTTTTCGAGTTATTGCCCTTGACTTTGTAAAAACGCGTCAAAATTTGTTCGTGGGCACAATAGAAGCTACAGTTTTCAACCGATTCTGATGAAGCTTGGTGTGATCATTGAAATTGATAAGATCTCGGACAAGTTCTAACTTGACGCATTTTCGATGAAATGTTTTTGAGTTAATGCCATTAACTTACGTTAAAAGTTGTTTTTTGCCCTTGATTAGAGCTATGTGATTTAATTGTTTGTTGTATTTGGGTTATTGATATTGATTTTAAAAAATTTTGTGGAACTATTCAGCATGAATGATTTCTTCAATATGAGAAGTCACTAAAGACTGTTTTATTTTTTCCGACAGCTGCCAGTGGGCGTATGTTACCTTGCAACGCAAGCTATCTTTTAATTTAGAAATTGTGATTTTTATGCATACAAATTGCAGACAAAAATTTATCCAAAACAATTAACTCAAACATAATTTTCCAAACTAGGCAACATAGCCTAGAGCATTCGATTTTAATTTTGACCCTTGCCTAACTGCTTGCTATGAAGTAATAAAAAATTGTGACTTTTGTTTATTGTAATAGAATTTAATATTTCTATTTTCAGCTTTCTCCCTATCCCATGATTCAATGAGAAGTAGTGGTGGCTTAGAGATGACGGAATCAGAGTTAGGTAGTGAGCGGTATGGAGTGAGAGAATCGCAGGATTCCGACCGATATCGCCTTGGAGATACTTTGGATTCTGATAGATATCGACTTGGAGAATCAGCTGATTCTGATCGCTACAAGCACCATGATTTGTTAGATTCTGACAGATATAAATTCCGAAAATCCATGGATTCAGAAATGTCTGCCCAAACCAATGAGGATGAGTCTGAAGAACAAGATCGTAAAGATCCTAAAGGCCATAGTGGACCATACAGAATGTCAGTGACTGTCCCTTCTGTTCATCCCATTTCAGAAGATGAGGACAGTGAAGAGATTTCAGAAATTGATGCTACAATTTCAAAATAATAAACTATTAGTTGTAGAATATTCATATGTATTCAGATGTTTCCAAAAGACCAAACAGTTCAAGCTTATGTCAGTGGTCTGTTTTGCAAAATAAACTGTTTCGAGACAGCACAAGGTGTTAAATAAATAAACCAAGTACCAATTCTCTGAACTGTAAAAGGAGTTTGGAATTTTGGCGAAACTTTATTAAGTTATTAAATGGACATTTTCATGTAGGACACATATATATCATTAAGCTAAGAAAGACTCAGTTGAGTTAGCTTTGTATGTATACTTATTATCAATGAAATATATTTTGTCAGATAAGTTTTGATATTATAGAAATATCTTAAATGAAATATAAGTATATGTGTAAACTTGAAGCATATTTAAATGAACATCATTGATATAGAACCTTAAAAGTAGTTGCCTATCCTTTTGGACACTGTACATTATTATAAGATTATTTATTATTATGTTTTTATGATATTTCCTTATATTTACAGTAAAATTAGTAACAAATCTGCCTTTTCCCTCCTTAAGGTTTATCTCTTATATAGTTTCAGGAATAAGATGGGACATACCTATGCAATATACTGACTATTGTAATGAAATTTAAGTGATGATCTGTCTGGCAATAGTTCATGTGTTATCTCCACATCTGTGAATTTGAATTCAATTAGCCAGTCATATCTGAGTCATCTAGGATTTGGGTGATAATGAGATTTATATCCTACTGTTCTGCACCTTTTACGGCTAATGGTTACTCTATGCAATGTGCAATGAGGGAAGTTTTGATAGGACAGCAGTATTAGCTTACTCTTTTTGACCATAGGCCAATGTGTTATATAATGGGGTCCATATTAATACTGTGGGATGTAACACTTGTTAACTGCCAACATTATCAATGAAGTCAAACCTGGTAATTAGCTCCTATTCATTGACACTGTGTTACACTCAAAAGATTTATTGATGTTTCCATTAGATGGACCAAGCCTGGTTGACCTGCTGTAAATAGCCATTACAGGGGTCACTACCTTGGAGATCATTTCCTCTTGACAAGCTTTGTTAATTACACTACACATGCAAACTGACAATAGTAGATATAATCAATTTGTCCGAAACTTACTAACTTTAATCAGGGCTGTGCTAGTTATATTTGACATATCTAGATCAGTGAGTGAAGAGTTTAAAATTCAAACTCATTTAAGTACTATCTAATTATTTGGTGAATACACGTAATTAGTCCATTGGAAAAAAAATTGACATGAGACTGGTATCATTAAACTGAGACGGTGTTATATATCAAGATGTTCATGTTGCTGTATTTGGAGGGCATGCTGAGCAGAAAATGAGGTAAAAACAGATCTGAACACTAGGAGTATAGCCTACCCTCTGACTACACTGTTTTCTGAATTGAATTTTGGCAATCATTTTCATATGAATCGCAATATCAATTACAAAATACTACCGAGATTCTTGGATTGCCTTTGGGTTGATGAAAATGTTAACCACTGGAAAGGTTATTATTTGTAAACAAGATTTTACAGACGGCAATTTTCACTCCGAAAAGTGAGTCATTTTCACTCGAATTTTATGGGAGGGAAGTGTTTCTATTTCAAATGGAAATCACTGAACCTTATATTTCTATGAACACGAAGACATTCTAAGACAAGTGGTATACAGTTTAAAATCTTACTTTGAATATTTATGAAAAAATCAATTCAGAGCTCCGTGTAGTTAGATAGTTGATTATCTGACTCAAAAGCTAAACAAATGTCGTGAAGATCAAGTCAGGACCAGAATTAAGACGGCCTGTTTCGGACTACCAAAATCTGTCTTACTATGAATACATGTATTATTATTTATGTGGGTTTGATTTCGTCTAAAGGGAAATGAGTGTTCTCGCTCGCTCGAACTATTCTATATTGTCTATTTTCATGATAAAATCTTTCTTATGGAAATCTGTACATAATTCCAAAGAACATGAAAAAGAGACAAGGAACTGACAGCAGAAAACCATCTCTACTTCAAGCATCTTGTGTTATGGGTAGGACATATTTTAACAGAAAACTGTCCTAATAAAAGATACTATAGGTCTTATGGGAGCCGCGGTGGTTCATTGAGGGCTCAATCTCGGAATTGGTCGAGATAATAACTTCGGATTTTTAAACCCAGTGTAAAGAGGAGCGGGCATGGAGCGTCTAGACGTTCGGATGAGACAATAAACCGAGACCCCTTGTGCTACAGGCTGTGCACATTAAAGATCCCTCGAGATTTGGAAATCGAAGAAGAGAAGGTTAGCAAAATTTCCCTAATTGCACCCTGCATTGTGTAGCCCGTCTTCGTCTTCATTAGCCCACAGCTTATTGTAAGAAAAGCAGGACGTATAACTCCATTCATTTCATTTTAAAGAGTCATAGTTATCTCCCTTAGACCAGTTATCTGAACGCTATATCTACACATGAGTTCATCTCATCAATGAGATCAATTGTCAATGGTGTCTATGACAACAAACTAAACACTTGGTCATAAATGCACGTGCGCTCATGATTTTGGTAACAGGTGATAGACCAATAAACATGAACACATGAAGATGGATCTGCTAGAGAAAAGATTGGAAAATGAACGACACAACTTCAAAATAATTTTATTTCAACTCGATTTTTTTAGGCATGGGACCTGATTACTTATGTTGCAGATGAAATTCCAGGCTCTTGAAAGTAAAGTTTTAGCTTTTTTTTGTTAGTCCCACAATTACACCGAAACAAATTTATATATTCTTTTTACTCGGAAGTTCATGGACCAGGTACATATCTTTTCATAAGAAGGCCATTGATGGTTTTATATATATATATATATATATATATATATATATAAGCCAACATCCGCATTTGATCAAGTTTTGTGAAATATAGACCCAGACGACTCCAGCAGGAAGTTTTTTTGTAATAGCTTGAACCCCACACACGACGATGTAGGGGTTTTAAAATATAACTATTTGAAGGTCACCCTATTTATTTTGAGCAGCCCAAAAACAATGTCCACAAACAAAATCCACAATTTCAGATCCGCCTTGCAATAAGACGATATGAGCTAATATTTTGGCATGAAATGGTATTTCGAGGGTATACAGACAGAGGTAAGATATGAATGGGTTATGAACCAGACTATATCAATTAAAATATTAACATACTTCCACAATGTACAACAATGTTGCCGTGAACCTTAAAGTGAATGCAGAAGATGATGGTAGATTTAGAACTATAATTACAAGAAATGATTGATATTTTGGCGTGATTAAAGAGATCTGGTTATAATCCATTTGAACCTTGAACTTTCACTTTTGACCTGTGTGACAGGCGTGCTATTAACAGTGCATGGCAATACTTTATTAATTATACAGGAAAGGGAATAAAAATGTATTAATGATGGAATTGACTTCCAGAGAGTCTACCAGCAGTGCCACGAATCTAAATATTTAACCAACGGTCTCAGCATGAAAATCCATTGGAATAATTAGACTTAACAGAATTCCCCAGTGTAAGCAATAACGAATCCGCCGGTTATCAATGAAGGTTTAAATCAAGCTTGCAGGTTGAAATCTTCCAGTCGTTATCAGGCTTGCTTCATTCCCATTACAAGACGTGTGCTTTTTCTAGATCTCAACGCGTTCTCTAATGCAAATTGTAATAAACAAATCAATCGATAAGGCTTTCAGCTTCTCTCGACACGCACACACGGCTGTGACCGCCATTATTATCAAGCCGCATAGCTAAATGTCGCATTGCAGGTGCCAGCTAACCAATCAGAAGTTTCGTTTCAAAATTTCCTGTTAGAATAATTGGCGCCCGGCGATTGTGTAGTAAGTCAGTCTGATCTCGTGGATTCTGTAGTTTTTAATATAGATTAATTCATATTGACTTCTAAACATTGGGATAAATTTCTAGTGTTTTTCTATTGTTAGGAAAGTTAGCGATATTAGCAACTAGAGATTCCATTCTTCAATCTACCGCTAGTTGAACGCCACGCCATATTACTTCACTACACACCACGTTTGACTGCGGAACGGATTTTTGGTCAGGAAGTTCCTTTTTATTAGCTGTGAATAATCTAAAATGGTGAGTATTGAATAGGTTTATGGTTATTCTTTCTGAATAGAGAAGTAATCGGGCGTGTTAAGGTGATAATTTTGTGTGCCCTACTTCGAAAAATGGAGGCCAAAGGATAGAATTTCATTTGCCGACATATCTCGTGGGCCATAGTTGGTCTATATTACTATCCATATTGTATGTAATTGTGGGTAAATTATGTTTATTTAATACTTTTCGTTTGATCTTTCCGACCCTAGACATTTAATGAATAAATAGACTAGGTATTTGATCAATAAAATATGAAATAAAATGGAGGATCAGATTATAGGTGGTGCCCTAATTTTGATGACGAATCCTGTGAACTGTCATTGTGGTATTCTAGAATTATACTGTCGTCATATTCCGTAGATTTCCGTAACAACCGAGTCCTTCCTTGTTCATGTGTCGGGCATGCGTCTTAACTAAAACGTTCCTTGATACAGTTTTAAATAAACATATAATTCGATCCCTGGAGCCTTTAAGCTGCATAAGAAAAATAAGAGGTGAATGTATACGGATGTGTATACGTTTAACGGTATACATTGTGCTACAATGTTGCAATAATTTCATGCCATCGATCCATTTCTTCATTGGTATTCGCCATCTTTACTCTTCATATAACTGGGGTATATAGAGTGTTATAGCGAGAAAAATCAATATTAGCATAGTTTCAACATTTATTACTTATTTTAAGAGATGTTATACTATATCAGCTTAGGTTAGATACAAAAATATACATCTAACTATACACAGGACAGTAATAGAAGTATTTTACTGGATAACAATGTCAATAACATTCCAGTCTTTCTAGACTTATTTTGAATACTTTGCATATTTATTAATCAGCTATGAATTTATAACTTGTCATAATGAGTCATTTTAATGGTGTTGTTTTTAATGTTGGGCTGATGAAACAAGAGATTAATTATTCATATCATGGTCCAATGTAGTTAAACAATGTATGTTTAATTCCTTTGGCTGGTATTAGTCTCGCAAAATATTGTTTCTATACCATAAATATTGCATTAGAGAGAAAAGTCTGGTCAGTAGCATAGTCAAAGCTAAGCCAAAAACTGATTTATTACTATGCTACAATAAATCACGATTTGCTCATACACTGACATGTTGTTCATTGTTGAAAATAGGCCCATTAAATATTCTCATTAGTCTATGATTTATAATGGGTTAGAAGTTAAACTTCTAATGATACACAAGGTCCCCAAATCTTCAATGTTGAAAATCAGGTATCCTGTAAAACTTTCCATTACTTAAATGTTGAAGGATTAGGTTGAACACTTAAATAGATAATCCATAGCCTTATATTCCCAGATTATTAATGATGATGCAGATATGAAGGATTATGTATGATGTTCATTTTTCAATGAT